AAGAAAAATCGAAAATCGGCGCCGACACATAAGAAGAAAACGACGCCAACCGTTCAAGAAAGAAAATTCATCGCAATCGACCGAAGATACATCGAACGCGCAGAGAAAATAATAGTTCGCGTAATACAACACGACGCATTTCAAGACGAGTTGAAACAACTGCGAGGGGGCGCCACCATCGCTACGAACAGTCGACTCCGCCCACTTTCGCTAATAGTCAACGACGGCGTGTTATACCTACGAAGCCGGGTCAACGCAGCGGCGGGAGTAACCGAAACTCAGAAGACACCGGCGATACTCGACGGGAACCATCGAGCCACCCAACTGTGGATAGAACACACACATAGAAGCCTTCTCCACGCCGGGGTGGAAACTACAGTCAACGAGTGCAGACAACACTATTGGATTTTACGCATTCGACCCGTCACGAAACGAATAATAAGCAGTTGCATAAACTGCCGCATAAGGAGGGCGGCGCCACCGTCGCCACCTACCGGAGATTTGCCGCCGACGCGCCTCGCTCATCATCGACGGCCATTCACGTACACCGGATTGGATTATTTCGGGCCGTTGACAGTCACCGTGGGCAGGCGTCAAGAAAAACGCTACGTCGCGCTCTTCACATGTCTTACTACGAGAGCCGTGCACCTCGAGTTGGCCGCCTCACTATCGACGGACTCCGCCATACACGCACTACGGCGCATGATAGCGCGCCGCGGGTGCCCTACCGAAATTTGGTCGGACAACGGGACCAACTTCCACGGCGCAGAAAACGAAATGAAGAAGGCAGTGCAGCAGGCGACGAGCGAAGAAGCAAGCATCCGCAGTATCCGGTGGAGGTACATACCGCCGGGAGCACCATTCATGGGCGGGGCGTGGGAACGCCTCGTGAAGTCCGTCAAAATCGCGCTAAGTGCGGTTTTGCAAGAAAGAAGTCCGCCCGAAGAGGTACTTACGACGCTACTCGCCGAGGCCGAATACACCGTGAACAGCCGGCCTCTCACCCACGTGTCCGTGCACCATGAAGACGACGAAGCCATCACTCCCAACCACTTTCTGCTGGGAGGTTCAGCGCGCGTCCCACTGCCGGGCGAGTTCGACGAGAGCGACCTGATAGGCCGCCCGCACTGGAGAGCAGCACAGCGCCTCGCCGACCACTTCTGGGCGCGCTGGGTACGAGAGTACCTACCCGAGCTGCAACACCGGCGGGAGCCCCACGGGACCGGGAAGACCATCGCCATCGGGGACATCGTGCTCATCGCCGACAGCAACCTGCCACGCAACACGTGGCCCAAGGGAGTCGTCATCGCCACTTTTCCCGGGCGAGACGGCACAGTACGAGTCGTCGATCTGAAGACAGCCGGAGGAGTGCTACGCAGACCGACCAAGCGGCTGGTGATATTCGCATCGGCCGCCACTCCCACGGAAGATGGATGCAGCGACGAGTCAACCGACGCTGCACGGCGGGAGTATGTACGCGACGACCGAAGCGAAAGAAAATGAACTTACAACGATACGAGAGCAATGTATAAAAAATGTATCTATAATTTCACATGAATTAGTTGTATACGCATTAAAAATATCATTCCCTTGTTGTCTTATTAGAATGAGTCGGATATCGCAACAATAGATAGCTCTGCCCATAGTAAACCATTGTAAAATTGATAGTTCAGAGCGATATTCCGCCCCGTTCTCTCCAATAATCTTATAAGACTTTATCTAAACGATCGCCACGACGCCAAGCGGTGGCGCGGGGAAACTAGTCAGAATACTGATAGTTCCGACCTATAGGAGGGACGGAGACAATAGGTTGTCCTTGTCACACGTCTTATAGGATTTTGCCTGAGTTGACAATTTTCGATAATAGTATGTTTTATGTTTTGATTGATTTATTTTATGTCTTATTAGATAGTAGGTAGTTATAGGAATAATATATCGAAGTTTTGTATGAATCGTGTTAGTAGTTTAAGCGTAATTGAGGAAAATATCGGGAATAGTTTTTTATGAATAGTCAATAGGATATAGGTATAATTGTTATAATAATGATGTCATTTTATGTGTTTTTACTTCTTCTTTAAAATGGTGTATGATAATTAGACATTAAGCGAGTATAAGTAGGTTTTTTAAGACTTTTTAATTTGCAAACTTTACAGGGCCGTAGAGCTGTTGTTTATTAATATTCTTGTAAGAAACTTGTTGTATTAGATAGGTAACACGTAGGGCTACGTAAATAAATAGGTATCGCATCAATAAGTGTAAAAATGTACCGTGTAGGAGAAAAAACATGTTTGTATAGAACCGTTTTTTGAGACATGTTGCGCTCCCCACCCGGCGCGCCCGGAGCGCGCGGGTGGGGCAGCGAAGCCCCGTGGCAGGGCGAAGCCCTATGGAGGGGGAAAGTATAAATATTGCGGAGACCTATTTTTTGCGCGCCACACCTAAAATATCGTGTTTACGGACACTTAACTATGTTAAAAATATGCCCAAATGTATGCCCGATGTATGTACAATTAGTTTTAAGCTCGCACTATTGTAAATTTTGAGAAAATGAAAAATAAAGTATAGCGTGGGTGAGGTAATGGATCGCTGGCCAGCTCAGTCCTAGCATATAAAATTCGAGTCGGAACATGCCCCGACATGCATTCAGCGACAGGCGCTCCTACCCTAAGGAACAGGAAGAAACAATCAAGCGGTTCACTCTGGACCTGAAGCCTCCTCTCACCGGCCATCCATTATCAGCGCCCACCGATTTCTTCAATACCGAACACCAGGGGTTTTATTCGCCGAAACTACAGTCCACTACAATCAAGACTCCTGCGTGTAACTTCCTCCACCCCCTCAGTACGAGTCGGTAACTGTCCGCTACTGCGACAGCCCGGCGTCCCGTACACTATCTTTAAAAAAAACCCGCATTAAAATCCGTTGCGTAGTTTTAAAGATCTAAGCATACATAGGGACAGACAGACAGCGGGAAGCGAATTTGGTTTGTGATATGTAGTGATATAACCCGACTTCATACAAAACAAAACCATTGTAATTATACATTTAAAGTCAAATAACATTTGGAGTCGGTGCCGTGCATGTTGATAAATCTCAGTAACTATTTACTGTTTGCGTTGACATGGCACCGACACCAAATGGTAATTTGAATTTTTATGTAGGTGCTGGTGGTGATTCTGATATGATTCTCTAAACTTTAAACTAAATTAAACATCAGTCTCTCCTTTTCATTCTATATAGAGAATGACAGGTTTACACTGTTGACTAATTTAAGTTTAGGTTTAGGGAATAAAGCCAGAATCGACTGCACTGTATATATAAGTAAATAATAATTAGTATTTCTTTCTTTTGAGTGGTTCTGTATTTATGAAGCCAGTTTTTATTTTTGTTGAAAACGTTTAAGCAGTACCTATATTTAAGTAATGATAGCTTTTCATGCTCTACTATTCAATTTTTTCAATGGTTTTTGCCAAAAAAAAATATATAAAGAAAAATATCCAGCAGAGAGTGTAACATCTCATTAGTGTGATATGATATACTATAACAAACTTTGAGCGTTCTTATAATTCTTTGAAAATAAACCAAATGTGGAAAGCCCTCTGTTATCAGTACTTCCCAGTTCAGACTCTATTTTCGTTTATGTACGAATTGATTGCCTTTCACAAGTTTAATGAAGGAGGCTATTTATAACATTGAACAACCAACTTCAGCCTAATAACGTTCCGTCATACGCTATGCTAAAATTGACCTTTTGTAAAGGAACTATGTCGCCCAATAGCCTTCGACATGACGGCTCGTAGCGCGGCTACGACGCCAGTCTACGACCGTAGCCCGTAGTCGGACCGTGTACGATGACAATATTCTTTTGATTTAGGTGGTCGTAGTACCCAAGCGCTGCGGGATCCGGCGCGCTCTCGAGAGATATACCAACTCATTATTTGGTAGGAATTTGTTCAAATTTGGCAAGCACTATATACGTTGCAGATGTACGGTAATGACAGAATTAGGGCTTTCTTTTTTTGACTGCGTCAATACGTTACGAACACACATATTGAACTTATCTTAAATCTGTTGTGATGTTTAAACATTGGGCTGATGTGGATGTTATATAAAACTTTATTCTGATCAGTTAGTTTAAATAAAGTTTTAAGAATTCTGAATCTCTATATTTTTGTTTTTAATAAAGAAATATGAAGTGGCAATGGGCAGGCCACATCGCTCGAGGACCTAACAACCGTTGGGTAAGAAAGGTCCTCGAGTGGCGACCACGTACCGGACGACGCAGCGTGGGGCGGCCCCCAACACGGTGGACTGACGACATCGTCAAATGTGCTGGGAGCCGCTGGATGCGGATAGCGCAGGACCGCGCATTGTGGCGTTCTATGGGGGAGGCCTATGTCCTGCAGTGGACGGAAAAAGGCTGATGGATGGATGGATGAAAGAAATATGTTTAATTAGTTCCTACAACATGCTTCTTAGCTTTTTTTAAAAATTCGTAGTTATGGACAAATTGTAATCCAGGCCTTTGTTTCCTTGACCACCATTACTTTCAGCATACTCAAGTCGCTGTGGGAGGGGTGGATTTTATACAATTTTTGTACAATATTGCTAACATGATTATTGAATTTTTGAGAAAAGAAGTTTGTCGTCAATATGTATTCCTAGATCTATCATCTCGGTTATTTTTAGACAATATAATTTAATTTATAGACATATTTAACAGGCATTACTGCACCTTTATATAATATGTATATTAAGTTCACATTAAGTTTATTATAATTTATCGTGTATTGAGTGTACCTTTTTTGAGTTTATTGAAAATAACTCATCATTATCCTTACCTTTTATCAGTGTAGGAACACTATACAATAGTTGGGCTGCGGTGCGCTCCAAGTCAAGAGCGAATCCTTCGAGTCCTATCTTTCTTTAGTACAATATGTTGTGTGGTGTCATTTGAATGTGTTCGTTGACTATATATGGTTGTGTTTATTTGTCCACAGAGTATCCGGGCGGCGGCATGCAGTGGCGCCGGTAACGAAGTGCCCCCCCGCGCACCGCTCGCCCCCGACCCCGCGCCCGCTCCCGCGCTACCCTACACATATATGAGGTAGGCATCTCTCTCCATTTTTTTTAATTTAACTTTTGCACTACCCTGTACAAGGATAATCGTAACCACTCCTTAAAACCGTCCAAGTGCAAGTTGGATTCACGCACGAGAGTTCCGTACTATTATCTTTACAATATTAGACGTTATATTATTAATTCAACTAAAAACGTCAAAAAAAATACGTCTTTTGTATGGGAGTCCCCTACGAATATTTATTTGATTCTAATTTAAGTGTTTTTTGTTATCCCGACAATAAAAATACATCATCTGTAAAAATTTCAATTGTAAAGCTATCACGGTTCATGATATACAAACAGATATATAGACACACAGACGGACAGGTGGAGTCTTAGTCATAGGGTCTCGTTTGTAGTCTTTGGGTACGGTACTTTCGTTATGTCAGGTCATGGAGCACCCGCACTAGAGTCCGCATCACACAAATTTTGTTTGGAATCAAAATCGCCAAAGTCGGTGGGGTGCAGGGAGGTCAGCCCCGCTGTGATTGGACGCGTCACGGTCAGATCATATACTCAGTGCAGCGAAGTGATGAGGGTAAGATCGATTTTAGAAAATATCGATATTTTCTATCGATAAACAATTTAGAATAGAGGCCTAGTACTTTGGTGCGCAAATGCGTAATCATACCCTCTCCACTTTCTTACAGCGTTCTAATTACAGGACGCGACTAGTAACTACATATAATTTAATATGTAAGCAACACAAAAAAAACACGTCCAGGACAAGAAGTATTAATGCAACGATATTAACTACCCTAGATACAACAACACGAACAAAATCGTGGCCGAAACGTGTCCAAAAGGTACATTGGACGATCCACGGAGGTCCGTAAGATGATAGCATGGTCAAAAACAATATAATGCCTTATTTGAACATTGAAAGTCACCTTTAATGCATACGGCATAAGGTCTTAATTAAAATGCATGCGTTAAGTTCGTAAAATTTTACGATTTAGTGATATATGTGAAAGAATATAGACCTTATTTTTTTTTACTTTTCACGCGCAATTCTGAATGCGCTGTTAACAATATAGCAGGTACAGACCGCGAAGAAAAGAGATGGCTAAGGGCGACGTATAACCGACCATGCATTTGAATATCACAAATATTTTAAATTAAATCAGTTTATAGTAAGTATTACAATAATAAAATTTGCTTTAAAGGCGTTAATTAAAAAACATTAATTAGATACCCGCCGAAAATACGACACTTTACGTACTATTAGTATTTTTCTGCAGTTTTTCACGGAACTCTTTGGCATCTTGACTTTTCAACGGTCCGCTTGTGACTGTGTACTAAGAAGTGCTTGAGTGGAGTTCAAGCACTTCTTGATTGGGACCACAGACTATTTAGATATTGGGACACATTTTGAGCGGTCGTGGTGTATCTAGGGTATTTAATATCGTTAATTCTATGTCTTTATCTAGGTCATAAACTATGCGCACTTAATTTCATACAAATCCGTTTAACCGTTTTAGCGTGAAAGAGTAACAAATATGCATAAAAATTTTCGCGTTTTTAAAATTTTATTAGGATATGTTTGACTTCAATCAAATAAAAACTGTTGGTTGTATACTTATGACATCTATTATTGTATACGATGAAATAAATAGTTTTTATTTATTTTTTCCATTTCCATAGCTGACAAACTTATCGACAAACTTACGCGTTGAGACATGAGCTGCGTCTGAGTCACTAGCAATACACGTGCCGGTGTGAGAGCGAGATAGCATATATGATGTAGCCCATGCGAGAAAGGGATAGTGTCAAAAGACATCAACGCGTTCACCAAAAAATATTAACAGCAATTTAATATAACAGTATTTTTGTCTTTTTGTAATGCATTTAAACTAACCAGTGAAAAGTAATACCATTTTTTTGAAGACTGGAAGTTGTACTCGACTTTCCACACAATTTAATTGCACAGTACGGCATTTTTTACAGTTTTTTAACACGAAAACGAGAGAAGCAGTTCGACCAACGCTCGGTTACCGAATGAAACGATGTATCGCGACGTCTGTAGGCGTGCCTCACGCATAGGTAATATACTACTTAAGCTTGGCGTAAGCGCTTGCCCTTGTATGCGGACTCTAGTGGGGGTGCTCCGTGTGTCAGGTTTATAAGTATGGGTGTAAATATTTACGTAAATCAATGTAGATTCAAGACTTACTGATATAAGTCTTTAAAAATTATAAGAAAAGAAATATTTATTCCATTCAAATTTTTTTAAATATTTAATTATTATTGATTTGTCATACAAAAATAAAATATCTCATAAATGATAGAGAATTCATTACACTATTAATATCGCTCGAATACGTCGCAATGTCACATTAACAAAATACGGAAATTCACCCGTTTATGCCTTTAGGGGTTGGCAGAGTATCAATGTGCAGTACCGTTGCAACAGACATTTTACAACACAGTGTAATTTTGGGCCCAAAAAACGGTCACGTACTTTTTAAATTCTTAATCGATGGCATTTATAACTTTGAATTCAAGAGTAAAACTCCCAAGTAGCAGTTATGAATAGAAATCAAGTTATTTAATTAAGTATAGATATTTATGATTTTCAAAAAACTTAGAAATGGCTATATCTCAATAATTAGATAGTATTAAAAGATTTTATGAGTGGCATAAAGTGAAGTAATTAAATATTTGAAATTACTAAAAACAACAGCCACGATTTTGTAGAGCATTACGATGTTATGGCTCATTCCCCCTATTTTCTTTTTTTATTTCTTAGTCAAACGTTTACGCTCATATTATTACGTATTAGGATTCGTTTGTAATCCTAAACCATTATTGACAGTTCCTTTTGATGATTTCACAAATCAGGAATCGGTACTCGCAGGATCTCAAAGATATTGAGGATTTTTTGTTTTTGTGTTAATGTTGCTACATTTCAGAGTAACATTTAATTTTGTACTTAACATTTAGTAAATGTTTTTTTTTTGACCAAAATTATAAAGTATGTGTATATTTAACTTATTCTTTCATGTTAATATAGATTATAAGCCTAGTACATCACTAAATGGCGTAAAAACTCGCTCAATAAACGGACTTCAAACTATAAACTATGTTTCTTTAAATAAACAACGTTTTGGGTAATATTAGAGAACCCCGATACATGTCATTCTTAATTTCAGATCTCAAATATAAATACTGATTTATAGTTATGGGTCATCGAAATGCGCGTTAAAATTCATCCATATAAAAACTTCGACACCCTCCCAATCTCCTTACAAGGGGTAGTTTGGGAAAACTAAAAATGAAAAACTTATTTAGATAAGTATTCGTGTCAAGTTTCAAGTCTAATGAACTCAAGGAATAAGATCTTTCATACAAACCTTCATCCTATTTTAAACCCTTCAGGGCTGAATTTTGAAAAACCCTTTCTTATTGCACCCGTACAACTCATAAAGAAACTACGTGCCAAATATGAAGTCTCTAGGCCCAGAGGTTTGGGCTGTGCGTTGATATTTCAGTCAGTCAGTCAGGGTGTCAGTCAATCACTCAGTTTCTTCTTTTATTAAGATATATAAGATAAACATATCACATAAAACATTAGACAAAAATAAATATTATTTACAATAAAAAATAATTATGGATGTTACAACAATGCGACAGCCCTAAAACCATATTTCTCATAGAATTTTTTAAAAGCTAATATTTTCTAGACACTGCGAGATTTGGATTTAATTTTTTATTTGGTATTCGTTTTTATTACGAGGATGGTTTAATGTAGAAACTAAACCCTACTACTTGTAAATATAGACGAAAAATAATAATAACGACAATAAGAAAATCGATAATAATTTATTTCTGTTATCCTACACAATTTAATGCTATGAACTGATTATTTTGTGCATTTTATAGTGAAAACGCAATGTATTAAGAAAACAATATTTATTGCTGAACTTTTACAAAATGAAGTGCATTTTTCGATTTTCATGAAAAAATCTTTTTGAATTCATAATTTCTGAATTAAAAAATATTTTTAAAATTGAAACCTGAACTCGGGACTTCTACTCTTGCATTCAAAATTATTAGCTCCATCGATTAGGCACTTAAAAACATGTGAACGTTTTTTGGCTGAAAATATTATGCACGTTGTACTGTGCAACGGTACAACCTGGCACATAAAGTAGTAATCATCCAATTTTTTTATTGAATGAGTTTCTTACTTAATAGAAAAAACGAGCGAGCATTACAGTAGTCGCGTATGATGTGTAGCGTTTGAAACCTCTCATTATATTAGTAAAAAAAGTAATAAAACCTGCTAAAAAAGGAATAAGCTATTTGAACATTATAGTATAAAATCTAATCAAATAGCGCGCGCTTTCGCGACTTCCTGTTACACACTTCCATCCCATTTCACAAAATCACTCCCATAAATTGCAGGAAAGCTAGAGGAAAGATGTTACACATCATAAAAATGAGTGACCAAAATCTTTATTAGGTACATAAGTTCTTTATCTTTTTTTCTGCTGCTAAGTGTAAAAGATTTCCTTTATTTCAGCAAGATTTCCGGTGATCACTGTTTCGCATTCGCATTCCTGGCGCACGCATTCCTGGCACGCAATGACTCTTAGGGCTGCGATTATCTGAAGTTTGTTAGCATAAACCCGGGACTTCAGGTAGCCCCAAAGAACGAAGTCTGGGGCGTCAAATCGGGCGATCTTGCTGGCCATGCCAAATTTTCAAAACAAAATCGTGCTGTGTGTGCGATTACACCGTCTCGTTGAAAACACACATGTTCACGCTCCTGCAAATTATCGTTCTCCATTGCTTGTCCGTTTGTATTCTGCATCTGTCTGGTTAACAAATGTCAAATATGATTGACTTACACGCCATCTACAACAATTGTAACATCTGCCGATAGAGTGATTACTTCTGCACTACCCTGTATAAACATAATCTCCTAACCACTCCTAAAATGACGCAGCATTAGTTGGATCCCAGATTATTTCCTAAAACAAAAGCAACAGGTTATCGAAGTTAGTATCAATAGACACTTTACTACTACATATTATAATATTGTGACAATCGCTGACAAAGATAATTCCAGAATTGGAACAAACAAGTAAATAATGCTCCTCTCATTGTCAAATTGTTTTTGTTTTTTGTTCAAACCAATACGATACATTGTGTGTATTAATTTGTTTATCAGCATACCGGGGCCGGGTGTAAGATGGTGGGTGCGCAAGCGTGGCTGGTGGTGGCGGCGATGTGGTGGCTGGCGAGCGCCGGGCCGGGCCCGCCCGCGCTGCGCTTCTCGCGCGTGCTATACAACCTCACCATCCCCGAGAACAGCGCGCCGCGCACACATGCGTTGCAGCCGCCCGCTGACGAACCGCTCGGCGTGCGCTTGCCCGACCCGCACGCGCGCTGCCGTTTCCGCATACGCCACGGCGACAAGGACAAGTTCTTCAAGGCGGAGGAACGTGTCGTCGGCGACTTCTGCTTTCTCACCATACGAACTCGCGCCGGACACGCCGATGTCCTCAATCGCGAACGGCGAGATTCCTATAAACTCGAAGTGCGCGCCACGGTCCAGATCTCCCACGACCAACACCTGGAAGCGGACACGGTGCTCGCTATAGAAGTCGCCGACGAGAACGATCTGAGTCCGCTCTTTTATCCGACCGAATACGAAGCATTAGTCCCTGAAGATACGCCGGTTCACTCGAGTATCGCGCGCGTTACTGCCGAGGATGCCGACATCGGGTTAAATGGAGAGATCTACTATAGCCTAGCCGAGCCCACAGACCGATTTGCTGTGCATACTACTTCTGGGATCATTACTATAACTCGCGCACTATCGGCATCCGAGAGTACACGATATAAGATTGTAGTATTAGCTCGAGATCGCGCCTCGCTCATGGCGCGTGGAGAGGACGCGCCCGCTGCACGCGCAACGGTAATTGTCCGCGTTGAGCGGGTGAATCTACATTCACCAGAACTGCGCGTTCGAAAACTCCCCGAGCTCGTTGAGAACTCTACCGCCGAGATTTATGCTATAATTGAAGTGAGCGATCGCGACAGTGGGGATCATGGACGAATAGCTGGTCTCGAAATAGTCGACGGCGATCCAGATGGCCATTTCAGAGTGCGGCCATCAGTGCAACCCGGTGAATACGATGTAGTAGTTCATGCTTTGCTCGATCGTGAAACCTCCCCTCGAGGTTACAATCTAACTCTTCGTGCGACAGATGCAGGTCATCCGCCGCGTTCTTCCTATTTGACTCTACCTGTAATGCTTGTCGATGCCAATGATAATGCACCTGTTTTTAGTAGAGAAGTATACGAAGCAAGTATACCAGAGACTGCTCCACCAAACACACCCGTGATAAGACTTAAAGTTACTGATAGAGACGAAGGGCGCAACGCCCGAGTTTACATAGAAATAGTAGGTGGTAATGAAGGAGGTGAATTTATTGTAAATCCAGACACTGGAGTACTGTATACAGCCATGACATTAGATGCTGAAGATAAATCTCTTTACACTTTAACTGTATCAGCTATAGATCAAGGAAACGCTGGAACAAGAAAACAATCATCGGCCAAGGTAAAAATTGCCATACTGGATTCGAATGATAACAACCCTATATTTGAGCAAGATAACATGGAAGTTAGTGTACCGGAGAATGGTGCGAGTGGCGCAGTTGTGGCGCGAGTGGTAGCTCGCGATGCTGATTCAGGAGAAAATGCTTACATATCTTATAGTATCGCTAACCTTCAACCTGTGCCCTTCGATGTCGACCACTTTTCTGGTGCTGTGAGAACAACGCGTGTGCTCGATTACGAAAGTATGCGCCGGGAATATACATTACGCATAAGAGCTAGTGACTGGGGCCTGCCCTACCGGCGCCAAGCAGAAATGCGACTAGTCGTACGAGTTAAAGATGTGAATGACAATCGACCACAGTTTGAACGAGTCGACTGCGTAGGTTATTTACCGCGGCGACTTCCTATAGGTTTTGAGATTGTTACACTTTCCGCCATAGATTTTGACGCCGGTGACGTGGTCTCATATAGAGTTGTGAGTGGAAACGAGGACAATTGCTTTTCACTTGATTCCAGCACAGGAGTATTAAGTTTAACGTGTGATCTCAATGATGCACGCTCAGACACAAAAATACTGAATGTAACTGCAACAGATGGAACACATTTTGCTGATTCAACATCTCTCACATTACATCTCGTGGGAGGCGGAACAGGTGTAGATGCCAACCCGCTCGAGTGCCGCGATACTGGAGTCGCGCGCCGGCTCACAGACCTCCTTGCCGCCGCAGAGCGAAGCAACGCACCTATCGATCTCGCAGATGAATTTCCACTCGCACCTTCTCGCTATGGTGAAAATCTTCACTCTCCCGACTTTATTGACTTCCCAGTTGAAGTCAAAGTGAACGAATCTGTCGCACTTGGAACATCGCTTGTGAAACTTCGCGCTCGAGATCGAGACCTAGGTTACAACGGACTTCTTGTTTATGGTATATCCGGCGGAGATGCCGATTCTGCTTTTCGCATCGATCCGGATACTGGTGATCTTCAAGTGATCGGTTATCTCGACCGTGAGCGTGAGAGCGAATACTATCTCAACGTAACCGTTTACGATCTCGGGTCGCCGCAGCGTTCTGCGTCTCGTCTACTACCTGTCACGGTATTAGATGTGAATGACAATCGACCTCGATTCGAAAAAACGCTTGCGAGTTTCCGTGTCACTGAAAATGCTATCAACGGAACTGCGATATTTCGTGCTAATGCTACCGATCGAGATGCTGGTGATTTCGCCCGAGTTACCTATAGTTTGAGTGGTTCGAGTGACGGAGAGGGAGAGTTCTGTGTTGATGCGTCATCGGGCGTTGTGTCCGTGTGCGCGCCATTAGACCGTGAGCGCAGGGCGCTGTATGAACTGACTGTGAGAGCCACGGATGGAGGAGGACTACACTCAGAAGCATTGGTGCGTGTGGCAGTGGATGATGTGAACGACAACGCCCCACGATTCGGTTTGCAAGCATATGGCGCTCGTGTACGAGAGGACGTGCCTGTAGGCACGATGGTCGCTGTTCTCGAAGCATTCGACCCTGACCTCGGTGACGGAGGCATCGTCACTTACTCACTACCCGACCAGGCACCCGAAGATATCGTCTTTACTATCGACGGAACGTCTGGAACTTTACGAACTGCGAAACGACTAGACTACGAAGAACGACAGGTGAGCACCTCCTATATTTTTTTGTATTTCAAATTATTATTAAAATCTAATTACTTTTAATCGCTACAATAATAAGTTACACACTGTACAAGTCTTATATACTTACTATTTTACTACAAAATCCAATAAAACTTGTATTTATAGGGTTAATTACCATCGGAGAGTTAAAAAAAAGACGACTATATCTTCCATAGATTTTAACGTACATTGTATCATGATCTTTTAATATCTCTCTCTATTAACCCGTGTGTTGATAAGAATAAAATGTTTTAGGTATACGGTGTAACAGTACGCGCAACTGACGGCGGGCGGCCTGCTCTATGGGCGGAAGCGTCCCTGGTGGTGGAAGTTCTGGATGTAGACGAGAACCAGCACGCGCCGCAGTTCGCCGACCGGCTGGTGCTGACGGGCAGCGTGCGGGAGGACGCGGGTCGCACAGCCGTCGCACTCGCCGCCGCCGCCACCGACGCCGACCCGCCCGGCCGCGACTCCAGACTCGCCTATTATATTGTTGCGGGATCCGGCATGGCACACTTCTCTATCGACGATCAAGGTGCATACATAAATTAAGCCTGGATGTATACAGTAGAACTCGAATAATAAGAGGAAAATCGGACGGAAAAAAACCGGCCGTGAAAAACAAAATGGAGGGCTAACACAGACAGGGTTTTGAGTGCCATATTGCTTACGCATTTGAGGTGCTATACAACAAAGCTGTGATAAGCCTATATCTTCTTCTTCTTCTGTACGGTGGGTGTTTTTCGCAACTCGACTCCAGGTGCTTATTTTGTGGGAGAAGCCTATATCTTACTGGAGTTTGATTATTGAAATTAGCCGATAATCGTAAGATTGATAAAGTTTTATTTTTAAGTCCTGGGGAGTTTTCCATCCCTGTCTGAAATGTCCTCAAGCTTTTTATAGTTTAACCGAGAGCGCTATGCCTTACTTCACACATAAGTACAGGGTAAAACACATTTCAATAATATTAATATTTGGAAGTGAACAGTGTCGTTTACATCTTTTTCTTAATTGTATACGAGTACTGTTGCTAAACAATACTATGGAAATAACAATTGTATTTTGATGGTGTATTTGGCAGGCATGATCCGCACCCTGTCACCGTTGGACCGCGAGACAGTCCCGCACTACTGGCTGACGGCTTGCGCGCAGGACCATGGCCTTGTGCCGCGCCTCTCATGCGTGCAGGTCAGTATATATATATATATATATACATGTCAACCTGAAACGATGTTTCACATGATCTGTCGAAGTTTGCTCTAACGCGAATCTTGAACTTAAAATTCAAATTTCAAATAAAAAAAATAGCACAATGTCACAGGATATATTGAAAGGAAAGAATTATTTTTTATGTAAAGTGCCAACATAAACTATAAACGCTTACGATACCATGGGCATTAATTTCATTTAATTTTTATACCCTAAACCGACACTCAGTTATAGGGTTATGTAGGACTCTTGCTGACTAAAATACACCCGTGAGGGAATGCCTCTGGCCATAACAGCACTCTGAAGCTTTTTCTGAGGCGATCGTCCCCTGCACTGACATCATGCTGTCTTTGCATTAAAATGAAAATTCTGTTAATTCTTTATTCAATCCATATGACACTTATAGTTCATCAGATTTCCACCAATTATGTGCTTGTAGTGTGGTTCGGGAAGCGCAGTGTCAGTGTTAGACCCCTCAACTGGGAGACTGAAAGTGGTTGTTGAATACAGGTGTACATCGAAGTGGAGGACGTGAACGACATGGTGCCGTGGCCGGAGCAGGCGTCGTACGCGGCGAGCGTGGTGGAGCACGCGGCGGGCGGGACTCGCGTGATCCGCGTGCGGGCCCTCGACGCGGATGACTCGCCGCGCCCCGCCAACGTCACCTACTCCATCGTCGCCGGGAACCCGGACGGACTGTTCTCCATTGATGAAAACACTGGTAAAAATACATTTCATAATTATTGGTTTTATGAGACAGTTGAGAGATGAGAGATATTGGCCATAATTTAATATTCGTAAAACTAAGTTTGAGAAGATACTGTAATTTTTTTTAATTCTACTCCTATCATTCTTTAGAGAGCATGACTAGGTTACACTGCTGTCAAATTTAATTGGAGAATTAGGGAAACATGCCAAAATTGGGTCAATTATGTAACACCATCCTAATAGGAGCCAATTTTGAAACCGTTGATAAGCCACGAACAATTCCAGAAGATACTCATTGCATGTAAACTATGAATTTTGAGATCTTTGGTCATCCAATCACTGAAAAACATCCGGCACGCAAGCGTCTTTCTTTGTTGGTCTCATCTTATTTAGATTGCACCGGAAGATCTATTTTTCTTTGTAACTCCATAGTCATTCTTATAGTTTGCCTTTACAGGACATAACCTTGACAAGCCAGCTTGTTATTTAAATACTTTGGCCTTTGCAAGTAGATCTAGATCTTTCTTTCACTGGGATAAATACGTTGCGCATACCGCGCTGCGGTGAGTTAACGAAGACATGCAGCGTACCTTCCTCCCACCCACTCGGCCATCTTTTGACACAATGGATGCTTGGAATGGTTAGCCCTACCCGATAAAACTCCAGAATGTGCATATTTGAAAACCTCTTCCTTATTTAGAATCAACCACATCAATGTGGGCATTGTTAAACAAGAAAAAATGACAACGCAGGTGAGATCGTGACGACTGGCCGCACGCTGGACCGCGAGGCGAGCGCGGTGCACGCGCTTGAAGTGCAGTGCTCCGACGGCACGCTGACCACCACCACGCGCGTGCACGTGCGCGTGCTCGACCTCAACGACCACGCGCCCGCCTTCACGCACCACTTTTACGACATCCGCGTGCCCGTCAGGCAAGACCAGCTCGCGCTCGATGCACTACCGCAGGTTTGTGAAGTTTACGCTTCAAATATTATTAGTGGTTCTTCGCGATTTAGTTGACAAGGGTTAATGTAATTTCGAACATTCAAATCAACTCATTCACTTTTTGGGATCAGCAAAAATTTAAAGTAATTTTTATTCCCCCTCATTACTTAAGCAAATATTTTTTCTAATTTTTAGGTAACCCTGTGTCATATAAGGGAAATAAGTTTTAGTAACAGCAAGTAGTGCACTGCTATCAATAAGTTAGTTGGAAGGCGTTTAACATAATTTTAACATAGAAAATTAAGCATGAGTGAATGTTGTGTGGTTGTGTGTTTGTGTTCAACATATTTTGCGAGCCTAGATTATGATCATTCTTACCTTCATACCATTTCTGTGGGAGTCTTTAGGAAATTCACAAGCAGAGTGCTTTAATAGCTGGTGTGTCACTCACGTCACCATTTTCAATATGTTCGTAAACGAGTTGTCGCCCAGTTAGCGATATATAAAGCTGCGTATTAAGATATCCTGGCGGTGACGCATTCCAGGGTACTCGTAGCCCATTACGCGCACTCTGGAATGATATCCGTGCGTAGCTTAAAAGGTCTTATATGAGAATCCTAGTACCTTAACATCATTTTAAAACGCAAGTCTTGTCAGAGAAGGTAGGCAAAGTTCATCAGAAACGCCCTTGAGACGGGGTGAAGTGTGTTGTGTGCGAGTGGTAGTGTAGTGTGTTGCGTGTGCCAGGGCGACGCGGCGGAGCAGAGCAGCACGGAGTGGGACGCGGAGGAGGACGAGGAGGGCTCCGGCGGCCGCGCGCTCTGGGACTACTACGACGACGACGCGCCCGCTGGCACCTACCTCGCCACGGTAAGTCTTTTCGGCTGTGTGAATTTTTGAAGAGTGAAGTTTTACGTGGTTTTCTGCTAATAGGTTTTTTTACTTTCAGTTAAAATAGTAGTATATTCTATTTTAAGTAGTGGACTATCAATGAACGCATCAAGGAGTTTGAGAAATTATTAAAAGCTATGGACTGTCGAATTGTACTTCTATCTTTTCCTTACAACAACTCTAGTGCCGTCGTGGCTATATCCGACAGGGCTCTCTTTCGTATATATACATATAGCCACAAAAAAAGTAAAAAAAAGCTTTTAACAAAAAAAAAAGAAATTGCCGAAAAGTAAAAAATAATAAACTTTTTTATCTGAATTAAAATTAATATTTAGAGTCGGTGCCATGATAGATCTGAGTTCCCACTTACTACTTAGGAAGTCTGGCACTGGCACCGAATCCAAATATTAATTTGACTAAAGATAAAAAAGGTTTATTATTTTTTAAAGCTAAGCGAAGCTAGCTTTGAAGTCTTCTCACTCTAGTGCATCTGTATTGCATAAGCTATTAAGTCAACGTAATCGAAGAGAGCATCACGTGACACAAGTTGATTGTGAGCTCTGTTCCCGTGAGGTGGTGGCGCTGGACTCGGACGCAGGCGAGAACGGCACGGTGCGGTACTGGTCGCGCGCCCGCGGCGCCGCTCGCGCCCTGCTGCGCGTGCACGCCTCCACCGGCCGCCTGCTCGCCGCGCCCGGCCTGCATCTCACGTCTGACATGTCCTACGACCTAACTGTGAGTTGCTATACCATGACCTAATACAATACAGTTCCTACGCACATTCTAGGATGTATATTCGCATCTGTTGCGCAAGACTGCAATTATTCAGAGGCTTTTCAGTAAACATTGTGTATCTTTGTATCTCTATTCAGCCAAGCAGTTCTATTATAGATGTTATTTTATCAAATATGTGGCCAGAACTGCTTAGGCATAGGCAAGGCATATCAGTGCTACATCATCTCGTTTTATTCTTAGTTTTAACATGCTGTTTGTTTTCTATGAATAAATAAATAAATAAACTTTTGAAATAAACACTTCGCAGGCAGACAGTAGTCATTATTCATATTTGTTTGTGCAGGTGCGCGCGTGCGATGGCGGGTCGCGGGCGCGGTGCAGCGTGTCGCGCGTGGGTGTGCGCGGCGCGGCGGCGGGCGGCGGGGCGGCGCCGCGAGTTTCCGAGCCCGCGCCGCTCACTGTGGCCGAGCTCGACCCGCCCGGCTTCCTGCTGGCCGTGCTGCAGGCCAGCGACCCTGAAGGCGATCCTCTGTACTACGATATAGTCGGTAAGTACGCAGCGCGGCGGAGGGCGGCGGGGCGGCGCCGCGTGTCTCCGCGCCCGCGCCGCTCACTGTGGCCGAGCTCGACCCGCCCGGCTTCCTGCTGGCCGTGCTGCAGGCCAGCGACCCTGAAGGCGATCCTCTGTACTACGATATAGTCGGTAAGTGCGCGGCGCAGCGGCGGGCGGCGCGCCCGCGCCGCTCACTGTGGCCGAACTCGACCCGTCCGACTTCCTGCTGGCCGTGCTGCAGGCCAGCGACCCTGAAGGCGATCCTCTCTACTACGATATAGTCGGTAAGTGCGCGGTGTGGCGGCGGGTGGCGGGGCGGTGCCGCGTGTGTCCGTGCCCGCGCCGCTCACTGTGGCCGAGCTCGACCCGCGCGGCTTCCTGCTGGCCGTGCTGCAGGCCAGCGACCCTGAAGGCGATCCTCTGTACTACGATATAGTCGGTAAGTGCGCGACGCGGCGGCGGGCGGTGGGACGGCGCCGCGTGTGTCCGCGCCCGCGCCGCTCACTGTGGCCGAGCTCGTCTCGCCCGGCTTCCTGCTGGCCGTGCTACAGGCCAGCGATCCTGAAGGCGATCCTTTGTACTACGATATAGTCGGTAAGTACGTAAGACTACAAAAACCTTTACGGACTTATTTCTTATTTTTTTTTACGTTATTGTTTTTTTGTCTGATCTGATCTCACGTGATAACACATTACGCCTTATTTAAAGTCATATTTGGATCTGTGCCGCTGTCGATAATAACACCATAAATATCTTTAGTTTAAAATCATGCTAGCCGAGTGCTTTGTCCGGGAGATGATCAGTAGTTTCACCTTCCATCAGGTGGCGACGACGAGCACGAGTTCCACATAGGCCGGTCGGACGGCAGCCTGGTGGTGGCGCGCCGCCTGCGCCACGAACGACGAGACAAGTACGCGCTCAACATCTCCGTCACCGATGGGCTGCACACCGTCTACACAATCGTAAGCGTTGCCTTAATTTACTTAAAAATTACATAGTGTTGATACTTTGAAATAACAAGAATTAATTGTATTCTTTGGTATCGTGAAGCCTAAGCTTTACATAATTATGTTCACTTAATAACTCTCAAAGACGATGTTTGAAAATTAGGTGAATTTTATGTTTATGTTATTTGTTGGATAGTTGTCAATTATGCATAGCATATTATATAGCTAGGTCATCTTTATGCATAATCATAGTAGTTTGTTTACCTTCATGGTTTTTCTTTCGTTACCAGTTCAACGTCGAAGATTTGCGTTTTAATACTTCTTAATCGGGAGTAAGCTCGTAAAATTTATTGTAATATTTTGACATCAGGTAAACGTGACGGTGATAAACGACGCGAACGAGGACGGTGTGTCGTTCTCCCTGGACGAGTACATTGTGGAAACATCGGAGTCGCGGCGCGCGGGCGAGGCGCTCGTGGCGCTGCAGGCGCGCGGGGCTGGGCGCCTGCTGTACGGGCTGCTGGCTGCGCGCGCGCCCGCCTCGCTGCCTCTGTTCCGGCTGCACGAGCTGACGGGAGTGCTGGAGCTGGCGCAACCGTTGGACAGGTCAGTGTCCCTCAACCAACAAAACTACTCACATGTAGTACAAGAGAAATACTTCACTTCATAGTAAATAAACTACTTTTATGGAAAAAGTGCGTCCCCGCACGGATTGAAGTGAATATTGGAAGGAGTTCTCTTACAAATAAGCTACGACCTAATAGCACTATTCTATGGTGTCATTGTCTCATTGAGTACGTCCTAGGGTCAGGGCGAAACTTTACAGAATTCTTCATCAAGGTGTCTGGAAGCTATGACAATCGTTTACAGCACGACAGAAAAACCTAACTTTACTTATGATAAATTTTGAATAGAAAAAGTTTTTGCAGTTGTAACACCATTTTGATTAAGTGGTAATTCTCCCAATTCGTTTTACAGAGAAAGCGCAGCGATCCATGAGCTGACAGTGTGGGCGCGCGACCAAGCACCGCGCGCGTCCCGGGCGTTCGCGCGCGTCACCATCCGCGTGCACGACGCCGACGAGCACGCGCCCGAGTGGGGCCGCCGCCTAGCCGAGGCGCGCCTGGTCCGAGATGCTCCCGTAGGGGCACTCGTTGCTGCGCTGCGGGCCGCGGACAGAGACGCGGGAGACGCAGCGAGAATCATATATTCCTTAGGTATGTACCTGACGTCTAGCAGGTAAAACAAGCTCACGAGTGGGGCCACTGTTTGGCCAAGGCACGCCTGGTTCGGGACGCGGCTTTAAAAGCTCTGTTGCTGCGCTGCGGACTGCTGAGAGACTAATAAAATGTTATAATATATCACTAAATCACCATTCCAGCCAGCAGCTGTTATCTTTGGTTTGGTAATTACACCAATCTGTTATTAAATTCACTTGAAAATTAAACTTTGGTTAAGTTCTTTTTACTGTTTTGAATTATACTACAGAATTAAAAATATACCCTATTTATGGACTCTACAAACAATTTCTAAAATTTGTCATATACCTTGTTCAGAAGTCATCGCTAACTGCTCCCGACTCAAGTACGTTATGTGTTGTCAGGCGGCGGCGATGATGGCACGTTCTCCGTGGACGCTCTGGGCGACGTGCGCGTAGCGCGGGCGCTGCCAGCACGCGGGCCTCGCGACTACACGCTGCACGTGCGCGCCGCCAACCCGCCGCCCGCCGCGCGCTACTCCACGCTGCCGCTACACGTGCTCATAGTGGAGCCCGACGACGCCCCGCCCAGGTATCATCACCAGCCTGTAAATGCCCCCACTGCTGAGGCGCAGCCCGCCACCCTCCCCGCGGCCCCGCAACTACACGCTGCACGTGCGCGCCGCTAACCTGCCGCCCGCCGCGCGCTACTCCACGCTGCCGCTGCACGTGTTCATAGTGGAGCCCGAAGACGCCCCGCCCAGGTTTCATCACCAGCCTGTTAATGTCCCCACTGCTGGGGCACAGCCCCTCACCCTCCCCGCGGCCCCGCGACTACACGCTGCACGGGCGCGCCGCCAACCCGCCGCCCGCCGCGCGCTATTCTCGCTGCCGCTGCACGTGCTCATAGTGGAGTCCGATGACGCCCCGCCCAGGTATCATCACCAACCTGTTAATGTCCCCACTGCTGGGGCACAGCCCCCCACCCTCCGCGGCCCCGCGGCTCCGCGACTACACGCAGCACGTGCGCGCCGCCAACCCGCCGCCCGCCGCGCGCTACTCCCGCTGCCGCTGCACGTGCTCATAGTGGAGTCCGACGACGCCCCGCCCAGGTATCATCACCAGCCTGTTAATGTCCCCACTGCTGGGGCACAGCCCCCCACCCTCCCCGCGGCCCCGCGACTACACGCTGCACGTGCGCGCCGCCAACCCGCCGCCCGCCGCGCGCTACTCCCGCTGCCGCTGCACGTGCTCATAGTGGAGCCCGACAACGCCCCACCCAGGTATCATCACCAGCTTGTTAATGTCCCCACTGCTGGGGCGCAGACCATCACCCTCCACGCGGCCCACGCGAGTACACGAGTAGTAACTATCTGAATATCATTTATATAACCGTAATTGTTTTGTTGTTCACCAGCTTCACGTCCAGCGAGCTGGTGTGCGAGGTGTACGAAAACGAGCCAGCGGGTGCGACCTTGGGCTCGCTGGAGGCGCGCAGCCCCAGCACCGTGCGCTACTCTCTGACGGGCGGCGCTGGACTATTCCGACTCAACCCCGCCGCCGGCGTGCTCTCCACCGCCGCGCCGCTCGATTACGAGGCCGCTAGCTTCTACAACCTGACTGTCACCGCCGTTAACATGGTAGGAGCGGCCGATGACTACGCAACTAAAAAAAATCACTCAGGCCCGCTTGTAGCATATTTGCGAAATCCCGATTCAAATGAGACTAAACTTAACCCATAGAAAAATGTCCAAACGTCAATGACAATTTGACATTGTTGTTTGGGTTAAATCTGGTTTTAGTTAAATTGAGATTTAGAATAATTGCTGTAAGACGATCTTAGCAGAAACATGTGTGAATTATATTTCCATGAAGTCGGTAACATGAAGCGATGCTACGGGTGTTACAAGTGTCCATATATGTGGACACATATATCAGTTCTCATTCGATTTTCTCCAATCATCGGCTAAAACTTTATTTCACACTTCTATGTCGTGTACTCACCTTTATCCAAGTAAAGACTGATATGAAAATGGGCTAACTTTGAAGGTTCTCAAATCATTATACAGGGCGGTGGCACAGCAACGGCGCAAGTGTCAGTCCACGTTCTGGATCGGAACGAGTACCCACCAACATTAATGCACGACGTGTACCACGGCCGCATTTCCGAGGCCGCAGCGGCGGGAGCATTAGTGTTCGACGCGGGGGAAGGAGTTAAAGGAGCCACACCGTTAGTGCTCGACGTAGCAGATCTGGACTCGCCCGCGCACCGCCAGCGCGCGTACGAGATCCTCGACCCGGCGGCCGCTAAATTGTTCCACGTCGACCCTACCACCGGCGCGCTGCGACTCGCGGCTCAAGTCGACTACGAACGCGCGAAGTCACACGAGTTCAACGTTAGAGTAAGTTTATTCATAATTTGCTTCTATCTATCTTTCTCTATTAACTATTAACTTTACAAAAGACTGGAACTAAATAACACCTATTTTGTATTGATGGATTCTACGCGATTTAAAAAGGCAAGGCAGAGGTTACTCTAGAAACGTGTAAAGTTAATCGTGTGTATGGTGAGTTGAGTATGAGTAGGGAAACAAACAATCATAACAAATATTAATTTCATACTAATTTATTATAACGCAAGTACATATTTACATACTAACGTAAAGTGGGTCATAATGCCTAAGTTCATTGACTCGCTAGACGCTACATTACTCTCCCCCTTTGAAAAAAAAAATGGGTTGTCATTTTTACTATTGCAATGTAAAATATAATGTAAAAAAAGATATAACAATAACATTTAAAAATTTATAACGGGAGTAAAAATAATAAAAGGATTATCTTAAAATACAGATAACTAAAATAATTAAACAACAGCTACAAAAAACTACTAAAAATATTATTTATCAATGGTCCGTAATTATCTAGCACTTGGTTTGTTCTTTCACACTGCACTTGCGGTTAATAAAATAACACTATAATAAAGAAAGTTCACTTTAGGGCACAAACGCGGGGTTAATTTGTTGTGCCTGTCCGGGTCTCGTTGCCGCAGGCACCGTCGCCACCGATGTCATCGGGATGCTGGATGTGATCCTCGTCAGCTCGTTGGTTAAGGCCTTCCGGCCACGCGCGATGCACCTCTTCAGTACGCAGTACGCCAGCACGAGAAAGAAAATGAGGCATACTGCACCCATCAGCATTTCAGTTCTAGTGATGCTGCTGGATGTTTCTGCTTTGCCGCCACTTGCGGCTGCTTGGCTCTGGGAGACAACGATGTCTTCTTTGGATGAGTAGCTGCCCATGTTGTACTTGGTGTTGTTCGTCGTTATCCGGTCGCTTGTGAAATGAATTCCTATATTAAATGCTGTAATATAGAAAAATAATTAATTGCAAAAACGGACGACGGGTTTCACTATTCGACCTGATTTGGTAACATACGTCGGTGTCGAATTCGCGTCATCGCCCTGCGCTTCAGTGCATTTTTGTGCAGGCGATGCGTTTTTGATGTCGTTGCCCTCCTGAGCTATGAACGCTGGTTTTAATCGGTCGATTGTAATGACGCATGTTCGATTTCGCAACTGAACTTTAAAATATTTTTCATGTTTTTCCAATACTTGGTATGGGCCTTCATACGGTGCTACTAATGGTTTCTTAACAGCGTCTACTCTAACAACACACATATTTGCATGTGTCCATGTCTTTGTAGATGAAGGTGTTTTTGGGTGATTTTATATTGCTCGGAACTGGGCTGATGTTTTGGATGGATCGTTGCAATTCTTCAACAAATGAGTCGGGTGATATAACGTTGTTTTTGTTTTTTACTTCCAAAAATATTCCCGGTATTCTAATGTTACTTCCGTAGACCATCTGTGCTGGACTGACGTCATAATCTTGTCGAACCGTTGTACGTAACCCTAACAAAACGGTAGGTAGCTCACGTGACCAGTCTACTGAGTTACCACGCGCTATTATGGCTGTTTTCATAATTCTATGCCATCTCTCTACCATTCCGTTAGCTTGTGGGTGATAGCTTGTCGTCCTGACTTTCTTTATACCCATTAACTTTGCCAACGAAGTAAATAAATTTGACTCGAACTGGCGTCCTTGATCGGTTGTAATTCTTATGGGACATCCAAACCTCGTAATCCAACTGTTATAAAAAGTTTTAGCTACTATTTTGGCTGTCACTTCCGGTACTGGAATTGCTTCCGGCCACCGGGTAAAACGATCTATAAATGTTACTACATATCTGTTATTATTTGATATTGGCAGAGGTCCGACTATGTCTATATGGACATGCTCGAAACGTCCTGATTCGGGAAACTGCATAAGTGGTGTCTTATTATGTCTAATAATCTTTGATTTCTGGCACGGTATACATTGCTTAGCCCATTTGCTGGCGTCCTGGTTCATTCCGGGCCAAAAGTAGTGTTTTTGGAGTAATTTCCTCGACGTCCTAATACCTGGATGTGTGACGTTGTGTAATATACCGAATATTTGTTGTCTAAATATGTTCGGTATATAAGGTCGAATTTCATTCGTTGACACTTCGCAGTATAATTCCTTGTTGCTAGGTAGGCTTATTTTTTTCCATTTCAAATTATTTTGTTGCAATATATTCTTTATTTCCGTATCCTCATGTTGACATTTTGCTATTTCATCCCAATCAATATACATAGGGCAGTCTATTTGTGACACTCTGGAGAGTGCGTCGGCCACTATATTATGCGAACCTGAGACGTGTCTTATTTCCGTTGTAAACTGAGCTATATAGTCTAATTGACGTAATCGTCTTGGTGATATTTTTTCTTTTGAGCTCGTTTTATTTGTATAGGTCAGTGGCTTATGGTCAGTGTATATTATCAGTTCATGACCTTCACAATAATCTTGAAAATGACGTATAGCCATGTATATAGCCAACAGCTCTCTATCGTAGGTACTGTATCTCTGTTGGGTCTCTGACAAGGTTTTAGAGAAAAATGCAATTGGTTTCCACTCTTTATTTATGTACTGTTGTAACACAGCGCCTACGCATGTTTGCGATGCGTCTGTCATGAGCGATAGTGGAGCATCGTGAAATGGTGGGCTGAGTGCAATAGCCTTTTTCAAGCTGTCCTTGCACTGTCTGAAGGCTTCCTCGGTTTGGTCATTCCATTCGATGGTACTATTGTCTTTTTTGTTACTACCACACATATACTTATTTAGTGGCGCTTGATGTAAGACAGCATGCGGTATACTCGTCCGATAGAAATTCAGCATTCCCATAAAACGTTTTAATTCTCGTATGGTTTTTGGTAACGGATATTCATCAATGGCTTTAGTTTTCTCTGGCAGTGGCATTATCCCTTGAGTAGTAATTTTGTATCCCAGGAATTCAATTTCATTTTGACCAAATAAACATTTATCAATGTTCAGTGTGATTCCGTGATGGTTTAATCTTCTCAGTACTTCTTCGACATGCTCTCTGTGGCAACCCTCACTTTCTGAGGCCACCAAAATATCGTCGACGAAGCAAAACACATAGTCTAAGCCACGCATGATCTCGTTCATAAATCTCGTAAATGTTTGTCCTTCGTTACGCAGACCAAAAGGCATGCGTGGGTATTCAAATAAGCCAAATGGTGTAATGATCGCTGTTTTTTCTATTTCTTTAACGGGGATCTGATTATATGCTCTTTTAAGGTCAATTCTTGAAAACACGGTCTTTTTTGGCAAAAGATACGTAAAGTCTAACAACCTTGGAATGGGATAACGGTCGGGTTTGGTGATCGAATTCAACTTTCGATAATCACCGCATAATCTTATTCCGCCGTCTTTCTTTGTTGTGACATGGATCGGGCTTGCCCACTCACTCTTGGATGGTCTGCAAATCCCCATAGCGTGCATGTTTTCTATTTCCTGCTTAACAAGTTTGTACTTTTCAGCTGATAAGGGGCGGCACTTAGAGTACACAGGGTGCCCTTCCGTGATAATTTGATGAACGACGCGGTGTTTGGGTGTTTCTTTTGCACAGAAGGGTTTCGTTATATCGGGATATTTTTCTAATAAATCAGCATATACAATCTTAGCGTTTATGGTCTTGATTGTAGGTATAAATGTGTTGATTATGCTCGCAGGGGTGATTAATCCTGTTAGGCCATCAATTAATTTTTTCTGTTTCATATCCACTAATATGTTATATTTTGCTAAAAAATCTGCACCCAGTATTGGCTGTTTGACGTCAGCGATTACGAATGTCCATCTATAAGGTCGTCGTAACCCGAGATCCACTTCGAGCGTTCTTTCACCGTAGGTTCTTATTTCGCTGCCGTTCGCTGCGTACAATTTGTACTCGTTCGACTTTGGTGCGTTTTTTGTTTTTGGAATTACACTTATGTTTGCCCCGGTGTCTATTAAAAAACGGTATCGACTTTTGCGGTCGATAACGCACAGGCGGCTCGATGGATAAATAGCGCTGACTTCCGCCCCCGTCAACACTATTGGGAGTTTTCCGAATTCGATTTCCATGAACACGGCTGCTCGCATTTTGTCGAACGATTCCTAAATCGGCGGTGATAATAACATAGTTGGGTTCCGTTTCCTGCCCTTGGCCTGGAGCGACTTCGGTTCCTCGACTGATATCCGCGTCCGCGTCCTCGTGATTTGAACTGGTGGCTTCTCAACTGTGCGACTTCCAGTGTTAACTTATTGATTTGTGTCAATAGTTCATTCATTGGAAAATGACTACTGCTGGCTACCTCTGACACTTCGGCGAATTTTATGTTCTCCATTATTTTATCTGCGATGCCAGCCAAGTTGTCTAGTTTTTGATCTTGGCTGACTGTCAACACTGCTCTTACAGATCCTGGTAATCGTTGTAACCATAGGTTATGGAGCGTGGAATCGGCTACTTTGGCATTTCTTGCAAGTTCGGTCATCTTCCTCAATAATTGTGACGGCTTCTGGTCACCAAGTTCCATCTCCCCGATTAATTTTTGGAACTGTCGTTCTGCCGATTCCTCGTATATTGATTGCAGTCGTTGTTTGATCGCTCCGTATTTCTGTTCGTTTGGTGGATTCAGTAGTAGGTCACCGACTTGTTGTACAGTTTCTCGGCCTAATTTTGATATAACCAGATGAAACTTACAGTCATCCCCCTGTTTTTGTGGCAGCATTATTGATTCGAACTGAGCGAACCACAGCCGAGGCATCTCAGTCCAAAATTCTGGAATTCTGGCGGTTACGCTTATCGATGACACTTCCATGTGCGACGATGTTGACGGACTTGAAAAGGTGGGTTGCTGGCCTTGTCCGGCATAACTTGTGCCTTGTGGTTGCTGAGCTTGACTCTGCATAGGCTGGTACTGGAAATTGCCTTGCTGTGTGGGCACGTCCGGCATCGCTGATTTTTTTATTAGTATTACACACGGTCACTTCACAAACTTTAGTTTAAAGTTTTTTAACACTATTTTTATTGTCCCTTTATTATTAATGTCCACGGGGTCACCAATGTAAAGTTAATCGTGTGTATGGTGAGTTGAGTATGAGTAGGGAAACAAACAATCATAACAAATATTAATTTCATACTAATTTATTATAACGCAAGTACATATTTACATACTAACGTAAAGTGGGTCATAATGCCTAAGTTCATTGACTCGCTAGACGCTACAAACGTGTATATTCCGCAAAAATTACCTTCATATCTGAATTCTCATCACACTTGAAATTAGGTGAGCCAAGTTATAGAAAAGAAAATATGCCAATAGGTAAAAATAAGTCAGATTCCAAAACTTACCCAAATAATTTGTGTACTTGACTCATCAGGTAGTCGACGCCGGCTCTCCCCGCTTGCCGTCTGACAGCGTGGCGCGCGTCATCGTGGAAGTGGTGGACGTGAACGACTGCCCGCCCGCCTTCGACCAGTCTTCGTACGAAGCGACCCTGCTGCTGCCCACCGCTAACGGGGTGCTGGTCGCCACTCTGCACGCCACCGACCCAGACCCTGCGCCCGACGGACTCATCAAGGTGAGTGGCCATCAATCAATAAACTAACGCTCCACATACAAGGCAAATCTACTGCTGCCCATCGCGAGCGGTGTGCTACGGACCCAGACCATCAAGGTGCGTCGCCATTAATAAATAAAATAACATTATCTATAGCCCAGGCTTAAAAATATTCAGATGAGCAAAGGCTGTTCCCAAATCCAAAGTAAAAAATATTTCAATTTAATTTTGTAGAATTAAAAAACTCGTTTGAATTGTCCAAAATATTTTTCCTACCTGGCGAAAGAAACTCCCAAAATATTATAGAAATGTAAGGAGGACGCGTTACAAAACTCATAGTTGATTCATGGACGTTTTTAGTTGAAGAATACAAGTCCCAGACCCAGATCTAGGAGATATCGCGAATGGTTGATATCTAAATAAGTATCTATTAGACGATTTCATGTGAACTTATCAATTTTTATTTCTTTCACCTCAGTATGACATCATCGAAGGAGACGAGCAGTCCGCCTTCTCGTTATCCAACGATGGCGTCTTGACCGTGGCTAAGCCGGAGTCTCTCGCGGAGTCATACCGGTTGCGTGTGCGCGCCTCCGACGGGCAGTACTCGAGCACGGCGCGCGTGGTAGTGCGAGTGAGGGAGATAGAGAACTCGGGGCTCGCGTTCCAGAAGGCGGACTACTACGGCTCCGTGGTGGAGAACTCCACTAAACCTGCGCTGGTGGCCGTACTCAACGTGCTCGGCGCCGCGCTCAATGAGCACGTGGAGTTCCACATACTCAACCCGGTGGAAGGATTTGAGGTAAATACCTGTATCTTATAACTGTTTTCTTTTTACACTAACTTCTCCTGTTTATGATTTTTAGACCATACTTTTAGCTACATAACGACTGTAGTAACTACTAAGAAAATCAATTAAAATATTCGTTATCTTATATTTATTGTCATTTGAGAAATAGTTTTCTTAAGAACATTGAAACCATAGATGTGGCAATATCATACACTTCAAATCGTATTTCGAGCCATTATATTTTTTTTTATCCCACAAACCTACTATCTGATTTAATTTTGTTGTAATATACAAATGGAATGTACTACATATTTCCACCATGGAGATTGCCAGTCGCCATAAAGAATTTTCTTTATTGACAGCTACGTACGATACCAGTACTGTTTTTCGGCGCTTCCTCAGCATCTACTAATATATGGACTTTCAGCTTGCGAACAACTGTTTTTATCTCACTACTCAAAACGGAGTTAGTTTTATTGTGTCGACCATTAAAATGCATTCTATCCATCACGGAGAATGCCATTCGCAAAGAGCGCGTAAAACATTTTCTTCCGAGACTTCAACGCACAGAACACTCTTTCTATGTCGTTACCAATAGAAGGAGTTTTCGGCAGTTACTAGCTTCCTAACAAAGTAACGATCTCAGGTGGGGTTGACATCGGGCGCGGTGCGCAGCACGGGCGTGGCGCTGGACCGCGAGCGGCGCGACTCGTACTCGCTGGTGCTGGAGGCGCGCGGCGGGCAGCGCGTGGCGCGCGCGCGGCTGCACGCGGCCGTCACGGACGTCAACGACAACTGCCCCGTGTTCGTTGGCCGCCCCTACGTGGCCGCCGTGCGCGCCGGCGCCGAGCCCGGCGAGCCCGTGCTTACCGTCAAGGCGATAGACCTCGACGCCAACGACAACGGCGAGGTGAACCGTTTATCATATTGTACTCGTGACCGTATTAATCCTCTCGCTAAAATGTAATTTATGCAGGATTTAAATCTATATTCGCCTTTTAATTTAATATGAAATATGAATGAATAGAAAATAACTTTACTGTCTAGCTAGTTAATTACCTACACTTTATAAACACAAAAATTGGTTAAATCATTCTCGTATATTTCAGTATGTTTTTTTGCAATAGTAATCTATATCAACGTGGGAAGATGGAGTACGATAGATTTAAGAAACTGAGAGGAACGAATAATCCGCTCAATCTAGAATCTTTTAAATGGTATGTGGAGTAAATACATTGAACTGTGCGAATTTGAGCGAAGATGAATTATTTACATGAAAAAGTACCAGAGGCCTAAGCACGAGTTTTGACAACGACGACAATAACGTAATCGTATCGTCATCATCACATTTTGTATTGTAGAAACCGGTTTGTTCTTACGTTCGGTAGGGGCGCTGCTTAGTTTTCAAAGAAACTTTGACAATACGATACGATTAAGGAGCTGCCGAAATTCGTGCTTGAGTCTCAATTCTCGTTCGATTTAATCAATTACCTACGCCTACTATTTACGACTACGACGTAAGTAGTACACATTCTAACCTCGAGTAACATTGTAAGAGTGTAATCGTTTGTCCAGGTGCGTTACGAGATGAAGCGCGGGCACGGCGAGCTGTTCCGCGTGGACCGGCGCACGGGGCAGGTGTCGCTGAAGCAGACGCTGGACGCGCACGCGTCGCTGTACGCGCTAGTGATCGCGGCCTTCGACGGCGGCACCCCGGCGTGCGGCGCCGACGCCGACGTCGCCGTGCGCGTGTGGGCCGGCGGCGCCGCGCCCGCCTGGGACCGCCCGCACTACCATCTCGGTACAACAACACCTAATACTGCCACTATTTAAAACAATTGTAGTTTCTGTGTTCCCGATAGGGTATTTGCTTAGTTTAAGAAAATGATCTCACGTTATTTACTAATATTTATCGTATTGAGCTTTGTCTCTGGGCCTTCCTTACTGATTTGATCGTGTCGTGAAAATGCGTCCTTTCAACTATCGATTCAACGTTGTAAAAACTGATGTTTTCTAACTCCGATGTTGATCGCAAACAGTTACATACGTTGTCAAACAATTGAATAGTATACTAGTTACTAGAACCACCAATGTTGAAGATACTTCTTCAAAATATCACAAATAAAAAATACGTGGCTTAATTAAAATGGATATGCTCACAATTTGGTGTTTTTATTCAGATGCCCGTGAAGACATTCCCCCTGGGCAGCCGCTGGCGCCGCCCCTGCGCGCGCTCAGTCCACTCAACCGTCAGCTCATCTACACGCTCGTCGACGACAACAACGCTTCGGACCTTTTCGAAATACACTTCGATGCGGGTAAGTCACACGCACTCCCAGCCTTTGCCCGACGGTCCTTATAGAGGGAACTAGCACGTTGGGTAGCATTTGGGCATATCTTAGTCACTTGTTGTAATGCAGAGATTGGGAATATTAACTTATGAATCCTTAAGGTAGTAAAATGTTTTTAGAAAAAAAGGAATCTCGGTAATCGTAGCATCCACGCACGACGTGTAAGATGCAGACAAGCGCGCCCGTGACGAGTGTATTGTTGCTAATATCTAACACGTCGGTTTTGTCCCGCAGCACCCGACAGAGGCAATAACCCATGTGAGTATGAGCGCCCGGCGCGTCTTCAGATGGGTGACCGCTGCGAACACCCGCGAGCTTTCGTTGTGTTGCGCTTGTGCATGGGTCACTTATTGCATGCGTTCCGCACTATCGGGGCCCCGTTAAGTATCTCGATGAGAGATCTATGTTATTGTAACATTTTTACTTTATTTAAAGGCAGTTGCAACGTCATCTGTACGAATACCATTACCGAAACGGCTTTAATCATATTTTGTAAATAACACAATAGAATTCCATACTTTTTTTCACTAGCAATCACACAACATAAACGTTTATCAATTTGAATGAAAGTACACGTATTCGAACATCCTCATAATTTTGTGTTCAATGAAATGGCATAGCAACATCACTTCGCCGTCGTTCGTGGCGCATACATTTATCATATTAAGTAGTCCGCCTTACAGCGGCACTGGACAATTAACATTCCATACCGAAGCTTTTCCGTTTGCTGTAATTTTGCTTGTTCAATTCACTCAATACGAGTACACAAATTATGGTCTACGTCGAATTTTCTGAAGTCAATATTTTTAATGCATCGACTATTAACGCCCAGTTTCAATAAATCAGGCTCCAGTAAAAGGTAAGGATAATCTGTTTCCGTTTCTTTGCAACAGTTATACTCACAGTTGTACTCCCTGCTGCGACCTGCTCTGTGCTATGACGCCTGTCCTGTGTACGGAGAGTACACTTAAGGGGAATAGGCTAGTTGACCCTTTTAGGAAAAAGGTTTTAAATGGTTAATAAATGTTCTATTAGACCGAAAAAAAATGTATTGTATTTTTTTTAAACCTAGAAAGCTACAAATCTTTAATTTTAAAATAGACTTTTCATGGACATACAAAAACGCTGTCGGCCATTTTAGTCTATAGATTATCTATGCTATGACGTGAACTGTGGTAAACAAAAACTCGTAAACACGTAGAAAATTACTTTTAACTGAGTTTATGATAAAAAAAACATGATTTCTAATAAATACCACGAAAAATAAAATAATTATCATTACTGTATTGTACGAGAATATAAAAACACATCCTTGAAGACTCCAGGAAAGTTGTGGATTAAAATGCCGAAAGAAATTAACCTACGCAACTTTATAACACTTATTCATATGTTGTATCTGTTTTATGTTTATTACTACATTGTAATACTAAATGCACTGTACTTACATAGATGCCTTGACGTTTCTCTGTTCCGCAGAGCAGAAATCGGGGTTTAGTGCAACAAATTCACCAACCATCAATGCGTCAATTCTTGGCAGATTTGTGCTTTCCGCTTTCACAAAGCCGGCATCCATAATTAGTTTTGTCAAAAAAAACTAAGTTTACTGTTTTTTTCTTTCCTAAAGTTAAAAGTGTTTTAAGATAAATTTAGTCAGACGAAAGAATCCACCACAGTAACACGCGAATGACATTATTAGTTGTTTACCACAAGAGACGTCAAAATCATGGCGGATGTGGCGAACAGCGTTTTTAGTGTTTCAAAAATATAGACTAAAAATATTTTTTAAAATTAAATTTCTACAGCAATCTTCTGCTTTTATGAAGTGAAATCGATATATTCAGGTTCCTTAGACTAAATACTTTAAGAAATAAACATTTATTTAATACAATTAGACATGAGTAAACTAGCCTATTAGCTTAGGAAAGGGAGACAATTAAGGGAGCAGTGCCTTGCGATGATACTCACAACCGTCGGTGTTGATGAATACCAACTCAAATTACCCGACCAACTAATAATACCAACGAGCCGGACTACTTGACGCAACTTTCGTTATAACGTTATTTTCACTACACTAAACACAATCAATTTACCTACTCAATAAATGTTCACTATTTATACATACACACGGGCGAGCCACTGTATATTTGACAAACTCCGCTATTAAATTACCAAAAATCTAATTACAATATTTTCATTTTACAAAGGACAAAACATGACTTCACACAATTTCCTTTTAAAAGCATCTTTTGACATTTCAAGTCACGTTTACACGGCTATGTTCAAAAACCAACACTCCGAGTACGGTGCGTTCGGAGATGTTGAACGTGTGTATGCATGTGATTATTGAAACTGACCGTTAGACGATTTATTTGTGGACTCGCTCCTCAATGTACACTTTGGGTAAGTCTCAGAACATTATGAGAGTTGTCCAAAGTATTTATTAAAATTGAGTTATTCAATCCGTGCGTGGTTTCAGGCATTTTGGTCGCTCGCGCGCCGCTCGACTTCGAGACGACTCAGACGCACGAGTTGGTTGTGCGTGCAACGGACGGCGTAACAGGCGCTTTCGCCGACGTGGCGGTGACGCTACGAGTGCTGGACGTCAATGACTGCGCGCCGGAATTGGATAAAGACGTTTATCGCGCGTCTGTGTCGGAAGCTGCCGCTGTGGGGGAACTGGTCGTCACTGTGCATGCCACTGATAACGATACTGGTCTGTATAAGATGATTGTTAAGGCTATTTTTCTTGATAGCTTCGCTAATTAACTATCCTGCCTTGACTAACTCGAAATTTAGTGTAAATGTCATCTTCACCCTAGACTGGGTCAATGATGAGCCCTCTGTAGTAAAAATATGTGTCAGACCTGCCGCCTTCGATTTGTTAATTTTACTCAAGACTATACAACAGCTTTTGTTGCAGACTTCTTTTTTATTTTGTCTCCATTAAATTTGCATTAATTCGACTGGACTACAAGCCATGATGACAAAGACAGATTTCTATAAGCGTAATTCTGTTTTTAGTTTATATTTCTATATTATATTTCTTTGTCTCTGAGGTGACTGACATTAACCATCACAATAGGCCATATTGGTTTACGTAACATGGCTCACAGACGAGAAAATCAACCTAAGCACTGTCTTAATTTAATTTTTTATAACCTTTTGCAACATATCTCATGCCCCTAACTGCCTTAATCTTTTCTGCCCTCGTCATCCTACGCTCTTGTGTAAATAACCTCGGTATCTGGAATTGCAAAAACACATTTAGATTTTTTAAACCAGGTGTGAACGGTGAGATCGAGTACTCTCTAAGCGGGTACGGGTCTGAGTCCGCGGCGGCTGAGTTTTCTGTGGAGCCGCGGTCGGGAGCGGTACGCGTAGCAGCCGCGCTGGACCGCGAGCGGCGTGCGGCCTACCACCTGCTCGTCACCGCGGCTGACTCCGGCCGCCCGGCGCTGCTCACCACCGCGCATCTCTTCATCACTGGTGAGCACTTTGCATTATATAGTACCGCGCTGGACCGCGAGCATCGCGCGGCCTACCACCTGCTCGTCACCGCGGCCGACTCCGGCCGCCCGGCGCTGCTCACCACCGCGCATCTCTTCACCACTGGTGAGCACACTGCATTATAATGCGGTACTATACGAGCGGTGCGCGGCCTACCACCTGCTCGTCACTTATCCATGCATTGCTACGAGAACGTACCTACTACAAGAGTTGCATTTGATTCGTTCAATAATGAGTTCCGGAATCACGATATTTTGAATTTCAATTAAATATTAAACAAACGAATTTATTTATTTATTCATGGAAAACAAACGGCATGTTAAAACAAAGGATAAAATGAAATGATGTAACATTGATAAACCTTAAACAGTTTTCACAAATACAAATCAAACACAATATACTTTGTCCAATCGAGGCCGTAGATTAATTTAAAACTAAATAAAAATAAAAACAGCACTATTAAACTTAGGATAAAGCCATACCCACAGAGAAAATGGTGACAAAACATATAAAATAGTTTAAATTAGATTATATTATTATTAAAAAAAATACTATTCACAAAGTTTTTGAAATAATTTTGTTTGTCCATAAACACGTCCATATCACTTGAATAATTAGGTATTGTTGAAATTTTGTGTTACTCTATTAAAGTAGGAATTCTGTCTATAATTTGTCGAACATAAATCAGTATAGAATCGCAGATAATTGCGTCTGGCAACTGTACGGAATGGTACTTGGATTTTAACCAACAACGGTATAATTTGGACTTGGACTTAACCTAAATTTGTAGTTTAAAAACCTTAGGATTTTTTTTGCATCTTTTCTAATTGGTTAAAATATTAGCGAATTCTTTTGATAAGTTGATGCTGACAATGACCATTATTAACGAGTACTACGACTCAAATGAGAGACAGCATGCCGCTAGTAGCGCTCGACCAGGCGCGTAGTAGGAATTGCGCAAGAGTTTTGCATAGATTTTGAGTCTCTCTCGGCTACTTGAGAGTCGAGTCGCGGCGGGGTCAATGGACATCGGTATATATAATAATAATAATCTTTTATTTTGCCAAAATAGTGTACAATATTTAAACTTACTAATTACATAGTTTTTTTTTTCTTATAAGGTAGGTAATAGTAAAAAAAAAAATCTTGGGCATAAGAGTTTTCTGACATAGTCGCACTGAGCCCTAGCTAGATTATAAAATAATCTGTATTAAGGGCAACAGTCCCGTTCCCTCGTCGTATCCTATAAAAAGTTAATTATAAAGGCACAAACATACAATATTACATGCACACACATACTTTAAGACCAAATAATTTAAGCCGCATTTATAAATGTGTATTTTTTACCGTAAACAAAAGTTGTGGTTGAGTGGTGGAAAATTTATTAATTACTTATATATCGGGTTTTTCTTTTATATAGGTAAGTACTTTAATTATATTTTTAGGACATGGAAGTTAGTAGGGTTTCAGTTTCGTCATATGACTTTGACATAAGCCATTCTGTGATTTGTTTCTTACAACGTGAGTAGGGTAAGCAGTGGTGGGAAGTGACTTTATTAATTTTATTATAAAGATAAGGACCGAGAAAGAAAAGAAAGTGTTTCGTAAATGCTACTCTTGGCCTAACAATAGGACATACATTGTAGTTTCGTCGCGCCGTAGACTTAGTTTCGGGTGTTTGGGAATGTATTTTTAAGATAGCACTTAGTATATAGATTTGACGGACATTCAAGACCTTACACTCTTTATATAAATCTCGAGTTGGGTACCTACGTGGCTTGAAAGCGGTCACCTTGAGTAATGCTCTTTGAGCTTTCTCGAGGGATAACATGTGTGTTTTGTATGTTCCTCCCCATGAAGTAATGCAATAACCTATCAAACATTGACACAGTGCATGGTAAATTGATTTTAATATACTAGGTGGGGCAACATGCCTCAACGTTTTAAAAATGTAAATTAATTTGCGGACTCGTGAAGAAAGGGAATCAATGTGATATTTGAAACTAAGGTTTTATTTAATGGTCTGAGTTGGACGGATACTAGGACAGGTGGCATTACACAGATTAGGGTTAGGACAATTGTGGACTATCAAATTGGGTGGTATGGAAGGTTGCGTGTTGTTTCGAATGGAAAATGACATAAATTTTGTTTTTGATGTGTTAAGAGACAGTGAATGATTTGATAACCAGCCAGTCACAGCGTTTAATCCCATTTGAGCAAAATTTTCAGCTTCCTGCCAACTCTTGGCAGCAAAGCAAACTGTATCATCAGCAAAAGAAATTATTTGACCATGATGTAATGTACTTTGAGTTAAGTCATTGATAAATGCTAAAAATAATGTAGGACCAATTATACTGCCCTGCGGGATACCGCAGGTCACTGGGAGGTCATCACTGAGGAAATTACTCACTTTATATTCACACATAATATAGACCAGGGTCGATAATTTTTGAGACCAAAAAAAATTATAGTAGGATGAAACCCATTACAAAAGGTAGAGAATATAACAAAAATGAAAGGAAAAATAAATTACGGGCGATCTGAGGTCGGGAAGGGGGAGGGGGTGAGTTTTTAAGGGTAAAAAAAGGTTAATCTCGATTTCCGGTAAAACTGCAAGTCCTATGAAAAAAAGTAAATGGCAAAGTTGTAGGTAATAAAAAGATCTACAACTTTTATATCTACACTTTTTTCACATAACCTCAAAATTTATGTGAAAAATGCGAATAACCGAGTTTTTGGTTTTTGATTTATATTTTTTGCAAAAAAATTAATTTTTTCACGAAATTTTTTGAAAACTTACCTTTGTATGTCCCAAATATACAGTAATTTTTTTGATTTAAAATATTCAATTTTTTCGCCTTATTTTGACTTAATATCGAAAAAGCACCCTTATTTTCAATCGAAAATTCTCACATCAAAATATCTGCTTTTTTAAAAAAGTTGGGGTGTTTTTTGTTTGTTGAAATCTCTACTTTCTGATGGTATAAAAAAATATACACTACTATGGTAAATGTTCTCAGAAACTGCAAATTAATAATGAAAAAAAATCCCATCCGAAAAATTGATTTGAATCATTATGTATAATTTTGAACTATTTATTAAAATTTACACTTAAATTACTCGAAAAACGTAAGATTTCATGTTATATTGATAAACTGAAAAATTACAAATCCATAAAACATGCAAAAATAGTTGTTGTAAGTAGGTATTAAAAATAGAATTTTCGGATTCGAGTTTTTTTCATTATTAATTTGCATTTTCTGAGAACATTTATCATAGTAGTGTATATTTTTTTTATACCATCAGAAAGTAGAGATTTCAACAAACAAAAAACACACCAACTTTTTTAAAAAAGCAGATATTTTGACGTGAGTATTTTCGATTGAAAATTAGGGTGCTTTTTGGATATTAAGTCAAAATAAGGTGAAAAAATGAATATTTTAAATCAAAAAAATTACTGTATGTTTGGGACATACAAAGGTAAGTTTTCAAAAAATTTCGTGAAAAAATATTTTTTTTTGCAAAAAATAAAAATCAAGAACCAAAAACTCGGTTATTCGCATTTTTCACATAAATTTTGAGGTTATGTGAAAAAAGTGTCGATATAAGAGTTGTAGATCTTTTTATTACCTACAGCTTTGCCATTTAACTTTTTTTCATATTAACCTTTTTTTACCCTTAAAAACTTACCCCCTCCCCCTTCCCGACCTCAGATCGCCCGTAATTTATTTTTCCTTTCATTTTTGTTATATTCTCTACCTTTTCTAATGGGTTTCATCCTACTATAATTTTTTTTCACTTTTCACCATTTTTAAAATTATCGACCCTGGTCTAATATGATTGTCCGAATAAATAAAATTGCGTGTGGCTTGCCGTCCGCGATTACCCACTTAGTGGAAATAAGGTTGTATAGTTTACTTCTATAGGTATATAAAAAGGTTGGTAACATCACAAACGTCACTCAGGCCGCGTCAATGAACCACGTTTACCTGAGTGTTATATTGTTGTAATAATAAAATATTATTTTTTTATTTAAAGATAGTGCAATTAGAAACGCGAACTAATTAACATACATTAGAGACAAGAATAGCCTACACTTTAACTGTAACTTTGTTTACAGTATTATTATATCTCGGAATTTATGTCTCTCTGATCTTTTTTGCCTGCATTCCAACTAATTCTCATTAAAGGTGAACAAACTGTGTTATTGACGTCGTGTTTGTGGTTCAGTGGAGGACGTGAACGACAACCCGCCGCGCATGGAGCGTGCGGTGGTGCCGGTGACAGTGTCGCTGGAAGCGGCGCGCGGCACGGGCGTGGCGCGGGTGTCGGCGTGGGACGCGGACGCGGGCGACGCGCCCCGCCTGCGGTACGCTCTCGCGGGGCCCGCGCCCGACCACCACGCCCTAGCTGTGGATCCACGCACCGGCGTCATCTCGCTTGCCAACACGCGCGCCTGGGCACAGGTGCGTTATTTGCTTCGTTCTCAACTAGAAACTAAACACCAACAAATTTTGTATTACTACGAGTCGGCTTTGTCGTTCGACAAACACTGCCAAACCGACTATGCCGGCCCGCTTATGTGTGGGGCTACCCTTAGCGCAAAATTATTAATGCGGGCGGAGTTCGAAAACTGTTCGAACGTAAACAATGTTATGGCAACTGAAAACTTTTATTTTCACAAAATATCAAAATGTGCCATAGTCGAGATTAGTTTTAAAAGTGATTTTTGTGCATTAAAGTTCTCATTCTATACTATGAACAAATAAGGAATTCATTGAATCACAGTCTTTCATGTGTTTATATTCTCTATCAAAGTATTGTAGTGCAACTATATGGAACAATATCGCATGTCGGCAGGCGGGCAGCGCGCCGCGGTCGCTGAACGTGTCTGTGTCGGACGGCGCGCACGCGGTGTTCGCGCGCGTGAAGGTGTCGCTGGCGCCCGCCAACCGCTCGCCGCCACACTTCCCGCACCTCGTGCACGAGGCGCGCGCTAGGGAGAACCAACCGCCGCCGCTCTTACTCACCACCGTAAGAAAACCGATACAGGAAACCGACTTTCACCCGAAACACAGTACACGGTTTCAATTCAGTCCTCGAACAAACTGACACTCGATTTGTAATGAATAATTAAGTAATTATTAATGCGCATACTTAGAAACTGAATTTTACCAAAGCATAAAATCATTTTTTTATGATTTTACAAAAACTTTTTGCATAGGTAAAAGCGTACGACGATGACCCCGGAGAGTACGGCACCATCGCGTACTCGATACCATCGGCAAAGCTCCGCGAGACGTTCGCAATAGACGCGACTAGCGGTGCTCTTACCACGCTCGTGCCGCTCGACAGAGAGAAGCGCGCCGAATGGGAGGTACGTACATTATGTACATAAAGTTTATTTGTTTTTTAATTTACGAACCTCGCGAAAATAAATTATATTTTTTGTTTTTTAAGCAAGTAACTGCTTGATGTTTAAATCTAAAGAAAATATAACTAGAAAAAATTCCACGCGGGACAGGCAGCAGACGGGACTTCAACCCGTCTGCTGCCTGTTGAACAATTATGCTACCGCGGCCCTAATGATCAGTGCATTCGCCCGGATAGCGAAGGGTGCGGGTTCAAGTCCCGTCTGCTGCCTGGTCCGCGTGGATGTTTTTCTAGTTATATTTTTTACAGAATTTATTTTCAGCGTAAATAATATGACAAGATTCTCTAAAAGAAAGATTTGATGTCATAACTTCTTTTAGCAAAAGTTATTTTTTGTGGTACATGACAGAGTACAAATTGCAAAGCTTACACATTAATATATAAAGGGGATTGGGTAATTTTGTATGGAGATTGGCTTGATTTTTTTTCAGCGGCCACTGAACTAATTATGATTGTTTGATAGTACTATATATGTGAATTGTTCTTAGCAAAGAAGTAGTTCCATAACTAATATCGGAACCAAGATATTTGATCTTGAATTCTAACAAAAGTCATATGATATAAAAGCTCATTAAATTATCTCCTGAGATTATTATACATGTGTTGTGGTAACGCTTTCTAAAAGCTAACATTAATGAAAAAAAAATAAACAGATCAAAAACGTGATCTAGAGTACCTACCTGGGCCGCGGTAGCATTGGTGCTCGATGACGCTGGGAAGTTCTTTGAAAGAATTCTGGCGGGGCGTATCATCGAGCACCTGAGAGAGCCGGACCCAAATCTGGCAGAGCACCAGTTCGGGTTCCGGCGAAACCGGTCCACGGTGGAGGTGGTGGCCCTTTTGAAGGGGTGGACCGAGGCGGCCACTCGTCGGGGAGAGACTGCTATTGCGGTTTAGCTAGACATCCGCAACGCCTTTAACAGTCTTCCCCCCAAAAGAATAACTGCCTTCATATTTGACAAAAAGTACAGTATACTTCTACTGGATAACAACGATACCAAGGTATCATACAAGGCTCTCATGATCTACACCGACAGCTCTTAAACCTACTCGGGCACGGGCGCGGGTGTTTTCTTTGAGGACCTCAATATACATATCGCTTTCCCCTTAAGCCCGTACAACACAGTTTTTCAAGCTGAATGAGGCAAGAGCGATCCTTTCAAGAAAGGTAACAGAACAGGAAATACGAATACTGTCCGAAAGCAAATCAGTCCCTTTTTTTGTGTCTGGAAAATACCATACGCATCCTTCAACCACTGGGGGAGCGAGAAGAAGGTATGTGGGACTCCTCGTTGTCCTCTTCAGCCAGCCCTGGAGCTCGCTGATGTGAACAGGGCCCTACCTGCGCCCTGAACAGGGCCACTAAAAACCAGACAATACTCCTGCACCGTCACCCGACACGCACTATGAGGACCGCGGTCCCCCTAGTGCATGCCGAGAGGGCGGGTGTGGTCGCGGAACCCGTCTCCGAATGGCCGCGTAGCAAATCAGTCCTACAAGCTTTAGATGCCTGTTTAGTCAAATCGAGCCCCCTGCAAGAATGCCACCAAACCCTTAACACGGTAGGGTAAAGCAATTCTATTACTATCCAATAGATAAAGGGACACAGTGGATCACGCAGTAACGACGCTGCGGATGAGCTGGCCCGGAAGGGGTCCGGTTCGACCCCAACAGGTCCCGAACCAATCGTCCCGATACCAGTTAGCTGTCTCGTAAATAAAATCTGCGAGCACACAGCCGCATTACACCAGCAACACTGGCTCGATCTAGAGACGTGCAGGCAGACCAAGCTCGCTTTGCCACGGGTGAACGCTGTCCTCTCCAAAACTCTTCTACAGCTAAGCAAACCTACATTGCACATGGTAACAGGTGCTTTTAACGGACATGCACATTTTAACAGACATCTTTTTAACTTAGGTGTCACGGACAACCCTCTATGCAGAGGATACATGGAGGCAGAAGAAACAGCTACTCACGTTCTGCTGGAATGCAACGGAGTGGCCGAATACCGGGCGAAATACCTCGGCTCACCGGGAAACCTCCAAGAGGCAGGCACAAATGTGAAGGCCCTGGGGGCGTTCCTGATGAAGCTGGGCTGGCTGGAGTGATTCCGGCTATACACCCTCCTAACGCAAAACAGGCGCCATAAGGACGTCGAGTTGCGGAAACGCCGTTAAAAGAAGAAGAAGAGAACAGTCTCCCTCACGAGTGTACTATGGAGGCACTACATTTTCACTACGTGCCTCCATACCTGCGAGCCATCGTGGAGGACTACCTGCAGGGGAGGTCAGTCTTCTACGAGTGGCCCGATGGAAGCGTATGCTCTCGGGCCATGGCCGCAGGGGTACCCCAGGGGTCAGTGCTGTGTCCACTGCTCTAGAACCTGGGGTACGACTGGGTGTTGCGAGGCAGCATTCTTCCCAGCATGGAGGTTGTCTGCTTCGCCGATGACACGTTGGTGGCGGCGAAGGCAAAGTCGGTAGAGGAGGCGGTTCGCCTGGCGTCGGTCGGCCTCTTTTCCGCATAGTGCAGATACTGACCGGACACGGATGCTTCAGTTACTACCTGTACCGTATCGCCCGCCGGGAAGAAAGGCCGCAGTGCCATCACTGCGGCGCCCGCAGCGCTGCGACCTAATCGCGGCACTGGGAGGCGGAACACTCTCGCTGAGGAGCATGGTAGAGGCCATGCTCAGTAGCGAGACGGCATGGAAGGCGGCTGCCTCCTTCAGCAAGAACGTCTTCTCGTAGAATGAGACAGCCGAGAGGGAGCGGGAGGATGATCCCCTGGCCGCTCCTACCCGCCGAAGAAGAGTGGGCAGGAGAGGACGAGTGTGCGCCCTGGCTGCGCCCGTCCCATGACCCTGCCCGTGGGGATCCCAAGCTCCCTATCCCGAGCCCGGCACGGCGCAATGCACCGTGCCGGACAGCTACACTAGCATATATATAGAGTTGACATGATCTTCACATACACGAGACCTAAGTGGAATATCCAAAGACTGATGTGATTGGCTGAGGCGGTCAAACCAGACAAAAAAGGGTCTGTTAAACCGTTATTAACTTAAATGGTATGTTTTAGACAACAATTCATACAAAAAAGCACGTAAGATTTAATGATATGAATTTACGTTAATTCTATTTTAAAAAATATATCATACTTGGCTTCGATGTACTTTACAGATATATGGCCACCATATTTTATTTTTAATTTTTTTAGTTCTATTCATTAAAAAATAAAGTATTCGTGGCCGCAGACTTTGAAAATCAAGCCACTTTTACCCAAACCCCTTTACATCCCAATTGATGCTCAACAAGACCTTTACGCAATTTCAGTTTGGAAATTTGTGAAAAATATATCTAATATCATATTTTGACACACAAATTTAATGTTTTTATTGAAGTCGTCATGTAACGGTAAACATAGAGTACCAACCAACGGCATACATAAATGTATGTCGTCAGGTGCCGGTAACGGCGAGTGACGGCGGCGGCCTGCTGCGCCACACCACGGTGCGCGTGCGCGTGGCGGACGTGAACGACAACGCGCCGGTGTTCCCGCACCGCGAGTACCGCGCCGCCGTGCCCGGCTCGCGCGCGCCCAACGCGCCCTTCCTCACGTTGACCGCGCGCGACGCCGACGCGCCCGACAACGCGCGCCTCCACTACTCTGTCTACGAGGGCGACGTGCGCTCCGATACCACCGGCCTGTTCGCGGTCGACCCGCACACTGGGGCGTTGTCGTTCGCCCGCGACGCGTCTGCTTTCGGTGAGTAATAAAAAGAAAATAAATACGTATTTATATACCGAAAACGCTATCCAAAGTAATTTATGAGATAATCGCGGACAACAGACACACAGGTCAAACTGAGAACATCTTTTTTGTTTTAAGCCTGTTAATCATTTTCATAGATATGAGTTCGCCTTGCCGCAAGTGACGTGTATGTACAGTACAAATCACGAATCAAAAAAAAACTCGATGGGAGAGATGATTTACACTAAACACCTTTCTATTGTTGGTCGAAGTCAATGTACTTGCTCAATTAGGATCTGACAAAGTTTTTTACTGTTCAGCAATCTTGACGAAATTTTTTTTTTTTTTTTTAATACTGGTGGATTCTCGCGACTTCTTTTACGTGTATTTTTTTATTTCCTATTCAAACTTCCATTATCCTTTTCTCACTGTTAAAAGATGGTTTCTGAAATAAAATCTAAGGACCTTCTCTAAGTTAAGCGGGAACACGGAGTGGACGTATGTTCCGCGTGTTTGTTTCATGTAATTTCATAGAACAGCGCTGCGTGAAGCGGGTCTCCCGTCGCAGAGTTGTTGTATGTATGAAATGACATGAAACTACCCAGAGCGGACGTCCGCTCCATGCTCCCGCTTAACGTAGGGCAGATTTAAACTATCCTATTAGCAAATTTCATCAAAATCGGTTGAGCAGTTTTAGACAGACCTACTCTCGCGTATATAATACTAACTGACCCAGCGAACTTCGTACCGCCCTAAAAAAAAAATAGGGGTTGTCCAGCGGACAAAATTGTGAATCTAAACCATTCTCAGATCCCCTTGAACACACACAAAAAAAATCATCAAAATCGGTCCAGTCGTTTAAGAGAAGTTCAGTGACATACACACTCACAGAAGAATTATATATATAAAGATTAAGTATTGATATAGATCAGTGAATCGATATGTATATGAATGAGAGTGCGACCCGTTTGCCGCTCAGCATCCCGGTCGGTGCAAGTGTGGGTGCGCGCGCGGGACGGCGGCGGGCTGGCGGGCGAGGCGCCGGTGTCGGTGTACGTGCTGGCCGCCAACGAGACCGCGCCGCGCCTGCGGGCGCCCCCGCCCACCGTATTCTTGCCCGAGGACGCGCCCGCGGGCACGCTCATCGCCGAGCTGCGCGACCCCACCGACGAGGAGACGGCCACTAGATTCCGCCTGGCGCCCGGCCTGTGGCCGCGTGACCTTTTCGCGGTGGACTCCGTCGGAAGACTCGTGCTGGCCGGACAGCTGGACAGGGAGACCGCCGCCGAACATGTTATAGGTGCGTTTTATCATATTGCTATTTCTTTCTCCTTTGGTCTTCGGCTCCGCTGATATTAGTGTAACGTAATTTTTATTTCCGAGTAACTACTACCGATTTAGTTCCGATCTAAACGGAGGTTGTACTATGAATATAAAATTTAATAGTTAAGAAACATCCGCATAAAATACCTGTAAAAAACAAACGTTAATCGTTTAATAAACATCCCTAGGATTTATAGAGTGGACCTATTCTTGCAGTAGGCATTCCATCTAACTGATGCTAAACTTATTTATTTATATTATTGTTATTTATATAATTTTACATGCTAATCTCAATTTTGTCATCACTGGCTCGTTTATTGTCCTGAAGCAGTTGTAGAAGTGAAGTTATAATGGGACGTGTAAAAACGCTTTTGATAAGCCTATTTGCAAAAAAAATAAATGCCGACATTTTATTTAACATCCAATAATAGTGCATTCGTAGCGATTTAAAGTACGTGTTTGGTTACGTAGGCGTGATAGCGGAGGGCGCGGGCAGCCCGGCGCCGGCGCGGCTGGTGCAGACGCGGCTGCTGGTGCTCGACGTCAACTCGCACGCGCCCGCCTTCCACTCGCAGCCCTACGTCGTGCACCTCGCGGAAATAGCCCCGCCTCATACTAGCGTCGTACAAGGTATGTGACGTCACCCAACTTATAGATGTTATGTGACATTATAACCTTACTAGCAAACCAGTGAACCAAATGTTCACCAAAAAAAAAATTTATTAATTGAGAACTTCGGAGATTTTGTGTGGTTTCGTTTGAAATAGAAATCACGTGATTTCTCGAAAACCGGAAGTGCTACGTTACTCAAATCCGGTTTGTAGTCTTATCAGACTATTCTTAACTTATAACTTGAACATTCTCTTTATCTATCTCTTACGGTTTGGTCGCTGAAACAGACGGACTTATCTAATAGATAAGAGATATTGAAAGCGCTCCCTGCGGTGAACACAAACACATAATTACCAGGTTTCCATTTATCGAATCATCGTTTTTTTATAATGATATTTGATTGTGGTACAAAGTCATTTTAATCCTCAATATCAAGTTATATTCCCATTAGCCGAACTACTAATTTGATAAATATAAAAATACTATCTTCTTATTTCATTCTATAAAGATTTGAATGATAAGGTATGTCATGTCTCAAGACTAAGACATATACCAAACAAAAGCATACAAGTAAAAGAAAAAAAACGGTCATGTGCGAGTCGGACTCACGCGTCGAGGGTTCCGTACAAACCTGTAGGTGTATTTTAATAATTATTATTAATTAACATCCCCATTAGCCGAACTACTAATTTGATAAATATAAAAATGCTATCTTCTTATTTCATTCTATAAAGATTTGAATGATAAGGTATCTCATGTCTCAAGACTATCGCTCCTTGAAAGTCCTCAACAACACCTGTTCGTGTCTCACAGTGATGGCCGACGACCCGGACTCCGGTTCGAACGGCGAGGTCCGCTTCTCGATCGTCCCCAACCCCGACGGGGACGAGAGCGCGTCGCTGTTCGCCGTGGACCCGTTCAGCGGCTGGGTGACGACGACGGCGGCGCTGGACCGCGAGCGGCGCGCCGAGCACCGCCTGGCGCTGCTGGCGGCCGACAGCGCGCCGCCGCACCAGCGCCGCACCGCGCGCGGCACTCTCGTCGTGCGCCTCGTCGACTACAACGACTGCCCGCCCGAGTTCCTGCAGGAGCGGTATGAAGCTGAGGTGAGGAACGCTTCCTTCAAACAAACAAAGACAAAAGTTCTCATTTTTGACAGAGCACATAACCTCAAAACTACTGACTAAACAAAAAAAAAACACAAACACCTCAAATACATATACCAAACAAAAGCATACAAGTAAAAGAAAAAAAAACGGTCATGTGCGAGTCGGACTCACGCGTCAAGGGTTCCGTACAAACCTGTAGGTGTATTTTAATAATTATTATTAAATACTGTGTATTATATGATGTAACTAAAAATTTACGGTTTTCGCAATTTTTGCTTTATCATCCTATAAGACGTTACTTCGTACCAAATTTCAAGATTCTAAGTTCACGGGAAGTACCCTGTAGGTTTTGATTCCTGTGCGAGTTTCGCAAATTTGCGGCTTAAACGGCTGTATCTTTTGATTGCTTTGGCTTAAAAGTTTGATTTTTCAGCTTGCAACAGCTCCAAAGGATAGTAGACCTGATTATTAGATATGAATTTCAGTTTGGTACCTCCACGCGTTCCTGAGAAAAACGGTCTTGACAGACGGACGTTGTGTAGAATTTGAGTCTTATAACACTTCAATAAAGCTCTGAATCCGTTTATCAAAGTCCAATCGCGCACGCCACTCCCACGTCACGCATACGCAGATATATCCGCGCGATAGAAGCAATTTGAGATTTATCGATCTTTCTTGAGACTCGATTTTATGCAACCAATGCATATGCCTTGCACCGGCGCTTCAGCTAGAGCAGGAGGTACGCTTAGAAGAAAAGAAAAAACATGGCGTGTGCACGGTCGGCGCGGGTCATCTGAACCCGCCCTCTGTTCCCAGATACACGAGGACGCAGCAGCGGGCACTGTGGTGGCGCGGCTGGGCGTGCGAGACGCGGACAGCGGGAGTGCGGGTGGCGCGCTTACGTACTTCGTGGCGGACGGCGACGCGCGCGCGCGCTTCCAGCTGCGGCCCTCCGGCGAGCTGTACGTGGCGCGCGCGCTCGACCGCGAGACCGAGCCCGAGTATCTGCTCTCCGTCGCCGCCACCGATGGCAAATTCACCGCCTACACGGAGGTCGCTATCACCGTGCTCGATGTTGACGGTGAGTACTATTTGGCTCAGCCTAACGATGGACGATTGTTGATTTCTTTTTATGACGATCGCCTTTCGCTAGATCTGCCTACGTTAATATGATATAACAGTAAATAATTTCAAAGTGAACTTTTCATTTATCATTCATAGATTCACATGTATATCTGTCTTTTCAATGTCAATAAAAAATAAAGCATTTGCTTTATTTTAAATTTGCATTGAAAAGACGATAAAAAACGATCAACATTTGCATTGAAAAGACGATTAAAATCGATTTACTATTTTTCTAACTATATAAATCGAATAATATTTCGTTTAAGCTAGTAATGAAAAATATGAAACAAGCAGTGCACCTGTACAAATTCTTGTTTCTGTTTTTCTTATCTTTTTTATTGTGTGTGTACTAAATGAGTAAATAAATAAATAAGAATTTATTATTGTTGTTATTAACAGACAACCCACCATACTGCGTGCGGCACCGCTACTACTCGCGGCTTCCGGAAGACGCGCCTTTGGGCACGCGCGTGATGCGGCTGCTGACGGGCGACGCGGACGGGCCGGGCAACGCCGCGCTCAAGCACTACCTCACCGGCGACCACGCCGAACACTTCGCCATCGACAAGGTGAGACCCTACTTCCTTTTGTTAAACCACTAGAATAAAACAGCTGCTGAAGTTCAAAGTATCGATAGCGTTTTTAAGTGTTAAATATGAGCTCTGCAATTTAAGATTACAACATTTACTTCCCAACTGTTTTACTTTAACCACCAGAATAAAGCAGCTGCTGCGGTTTACAGTATCGATACCTTTGAAAGTGTTAAATACAAGCTTTGAATTTTAAATCCACAGGGAACCGGCGTGGTTACCGTAGCAGCGGCACTAGATCGGGAGACTTTAAGCTCATACCGTCTGGTGGCGCACGCTCAGGACCGCACGCGAGCTGAATGGAGCTGTGGCTCCGAACTACTCGTCACGCTCACAGACGTCAACGACAACGCACCGAGATTCTCCGCCGACACTTACGCCGTCACGCTGCCCGAGGACGCCGATATAGGCACATTAGTTGCCAAAGTACGATCCAATAACACTCCTAAATTTCTATTTTTATGTCTCAGCTTTGAACAGGTTTGATTGATTATGTTTTGTTTCATGGCACAGGTGCACGCCACCGACGTCGATCTAGGCGAAAACAGGCTCGTGCGATACTCGTTCGCGGAAGAGAACGAAGCGTTCGATCTAGCGAGCGACAGCGGCATCATCACGCTGCGCACGCCGCTGGACCGCGAGACGCAGGCGGAGCACCGGCTCGTGATCGTGGCGCGCGACGCCGGCCGCCCGCCGCTGTCCGCGTCCGCCACCGTGCGCCTCACCGTCGCCGACGTCAACGACAACCCGCCCGAGTTTGAGATGCGCCTCTACCGCGCCGCCGTGCCTGAGCTGGCCGCGCTCGGCACCGACCTGCTACGCGTGCGCGCCACCTCGCGCGACACAGGCGTCAACGCCGACGTGTACTACTCCATCGTCGGCGGCGACGGCCGCGAGGATTTCGCGCTCGACCGCTCCTCCGGCGTGCTCACAGTCGCGCGCCCGCTCGACTACGAGCGCCGCAAGGAATACGCGCTCACCATCCAGGCGATCGACGGCGGGTCGCCGCCGCTCAGCGACCAGGCGTCCGTCAACATCACCGTCGCCGACAGCAACGACAACCCGCCGACCTTCTCGCAGGCTTCGTACGGCGCGCGCGTGCGCGAGGACGCAGTGATCGGCGAGCGCATCTTGCAAGTGATCGCCGATGACGCCGACTCGGGCGCAAACGGCCGCGTGACGTACTCGATCGCTCGAGGCAACCACGAAGATCGCTTCGCCATCGATGCGGACACTGGCTACCTGTCGGTGGCGGCACCGCTCGACCGCGAGACTGTGCCCGCCTACGTTCTGGAGGTGCGCGCGAGAGACCGCGGTACGCCGACGTTGGAATCTGCCACGCTCGTCAACGTCGAAATCGTCGATGCCAACGACAACCCACCGCTCTTCGCCCGGACCAACTACACGGCGGTCGTTCAGGAGGATCGGCCACTTGGCTACACGATTATCAAATTCGAAGTTCAAGATGCGGATGCGCCGCCCAACGCGGCGCCATACACCTTCGACTTTCAATCCGGGAACGAGATGGGAGCTTTCCGCCTCGAGCAAGATGGTTATCTTCGATCTGCGACGCGATTCAACCACCGCATCAAGGATAGATACACTCTGCAGATCCGAGTTTTCGACAACGGAACACCTCCTCTATTTTCGGACGCGTGGGTTTACATAAAAGTGATAGAAGAATCTCAGTACCCCCCTGTGGTGACGCCGCTCGAGATAGTCGTGAACTCGTATCTGGACGAGTTCCCTGGCGGCGAAATCGGCCAGGTGTTCGCGTCGGACCGGGACGCTTACGACACGCTGACATACAAACTGGCGCCGGCCGACGGCGCACCATACCCTCCCACTGACTTGTTCGAGATCGGCTCCGGCAACGGTACGCTACGAGCCGCGCCCCGGCTCGACGTCGGCGATTACCGCCTCAACGTCACCGTCGACGACGGCAAGTTCGTCAGCTTCGCGATCGTGCGTGTTACCGTAGTGTTGGTTTCCGACGAGATGCTCGCGCAGGCGATCGTCGTTCGCTTCCGAGAAATCACGGATCGCGACTTCGTTCTGAGTCATCGGAAAGGATTCATCCGAGCGGTGGCGGAAGCGACGGATTGCGAGCCCGGGGATGTGATCATAGTCAGCGTGCAGCCGTCGGGAGAAGGAACGGGAGCCCGTCGAGCGAAGCGACAGGTAGCTCAAGACCTGGACGTCGCTTTCGCCGTCCGCGTCGCTGGTGGTTTCCTACCAGCAGACGCTCTACGCCGCCGACTGCACGCTCACTTGGAACGTTTGGAGGAACGCACACGTCTCATCGTGGAGGAGCTCCTGCGCGTTTCGTGCGGGGGATGCGCGCACGGCTCGTGCGCAGAGAGAGTGGAGCTGCAGTCAAGCGGTTTGCGCGCAGTGACGACGGACGTGTTCGCGCTGGTGTCGGCGCCGCACCGTCTGCGCGGCGAGTGCGCCTGCCTCGGCGGGTACGCGGGCGACCACTGCGACCGGATCTCCAACACCATCGACACAGATGCCGAATGCGGCGAGCCCGGGTGCAGGTTAGTGGCGCATTATCAAGTACGGATTATTTATTTTATTTTAGGAAGGTTTACAGCTATCAGTCCCTTATTAAATAAACAATAAATTTAAGGGTCAATCGCTCGTCTGCCACCCCATTTGTGAAGTAAAACTTCTTTACGCACGCTTGATTTGGGGGGTAAGCTGGCGAATGCGTTACGCATTACGAAAAGTGTGTTCGGGCGAGGCGAACGATTTTCGATAGAAGCAGTGAGCGCGCACATTTTCTTTCTCTCTTTCTCTTATAGCTAGAGTATATGTACATACATGTATATATTCTACACACATGTATATATCTATACACATACAGATGGAACTATAGAAGTTTCACTTCAGTCGTGTGGTCATAAGCACACTCGTTTTTTTTAAATAAATTTAATACGGTCAAAGGAATGACAGCACCGTCGTTTGCGTAGCACCGAGCAGAATCTTTTCTTCGTAGTTCGAGTATCTTCCATTTAAGATAATAATTAGATATCGTAAGGTAACCCGAATAAAAAAAACCATTTGGTTGGTTATATTAAAAGATTCGTGTGTATGTTCAGATCGAGCCCTGCGGTGACGCAGCTGGCGGGTGACGGGTACCTGGTGTACCGCGTGGAGCGCGGCGTGGTGGAGGGCGCGCGCGTGCCGGACGACGAGCTGGCGCTGTCGCTGCGCTTCCGGACGCGGCGCGAGCGCGGCACTCTGCTCTACGCCGCCGGCCGGGTGGACTACGCCGCGCTTGAGGTATCGATATTATATCTATGTTGGTGCACACTCCACACGCAGTACCGCGTGGAGGGCGCGCGCGTGCCGGACAACGAGCTGGCGCTGTCGCTGCGCTTCCGGACGCGGCGCGAGCGCGGCACGCTGCTCTACGCCGCCGGCCGAGTGGACTACGCCGCGCTTGAGGTAACGATATTATATCTATGTTGGTGCACACTCGACACGCAGTACCGCGTGGAGGGCGCGCGCATGCCGGACGACGAGCTGGCGCTGTCGCTGCGCTTCCGGACGCGGCGCGAGCGCGGCAAGCTGCACTACGCCGCCGGCCGGGTGGACTACGCCGCGCTTGCCGTTCGCGGCCGTTCAGCAGCGTTCGACATCTGTCTCTCTTCTACTTGAGTGGGCGATGCGTCCGCGTGGACAGCTGCTATACAATAATACATTTACATGTTTTCGTCAAGTATGAAGTGCAGTAAAAAATGAATGTGGTGTCAATTGTTTATAGCAACGATAATTGCGGCGATAAAGATATTTATTTATTTATTTATCAGGCATGCCAACATTTTTACACCCAACATAATAAAAAAAACATACGTTATACATAAAGTTGTGCAAAAACAGTTACAGGCATACACAACTCTTATTTCTGCCAAAATTAATGATATAAAACTAAACTAGGTATAAAAAAAAACATACATAAAACTAAACTATAATCAAGTATCACAATCAATGCTCGATAGCAATGCCCTCCTAAATGTAATCAATGACGCAGCGAACAAATCAACGCTTACCAAGAACCCAGTACAGATTTTTTATCAACCCATCTGCGTTTCCGCAATGAAATCAACTCGAAATACTCCAATTTATCCTTATATGAGATGAGTTCATATCTTTTTCCCTGGTGTCTGGTTAGAAAAGACAAAAACTTTTTTTGGATTCTTTCAATCCTGCTTTTATGACGCTCATAAAGAGGATTCCAAATAGCAGAACAATACTCCAAGGAACTGCGTACCAAAGCAAAGTATAGATGTTTCAATGCTTCAACATTTTTAAACCGCTTACAACTACGCCAAAGAAATCCCAGCATTTTTAAACTCTTAGACATAATATGGTCAGAATGATGAGTGAAAAGTAATTTTTATCCAAAACAATACCGAGATCTTGAATGGACGATACCTTTTCAAGAACTTGGGAATTTATAGAATATGCAGACTTAACCGGAAATCGTTTCTTAGTGAATTTTATATGCTTACATTTGTCAGGATTAAAAGGAAGCATATTTGCGTGTGACCAAGCCGCTATTTGGTCCAGATCTTTTTGTAAAAGCTCAGCATCATTGGAATTTTGGACAGTTTTGTATATTTTAAGATCGTCGGCAAACAATAAACAACTTGAGTACCTAATAACTCGAACCAGAACGTTTATAAATGCTAGAAAAAAATGTGATCCCTGAGGAACTCCTGAGTAAACCAGAATATAATCAGATTCATATCCACAAGTAACTACTTTTTGATACCTCTCAGAAAGATAAGAATGACACCAGTCTAACAAAGTGCCGTGAACACCTGCCAAGCATAATTTCTTCAGCATTATAGAGTGATTAACCTTATCGAATGCTTTACTTATATCGGTGTACACCGCATCCACCTGTCGACCCTGATCCAGTTCAAAACTTAATTCATTTACATAGCATGTCAGATTTGTAATTGTAGACATCTTTTGACGAAAACCGTGCTGCTGAGGAACGAGGATGGATCCAAGATGATTTGTAAAATATGGGTACACTAATTTTTCAAACAGTTTAGGAAAACTAGATAATAAGGAAATAGGTCTATAATTACGCACGTCGCTCGTATTTCCTGATTTAGGAATTGGTAAGACATTAGCCCATTTCCAAACTAACGGAAAAACACCAGTAGATAAAGAATTATTAATAATAATATTTAGCGGATATGATAGAGAAGAAGCACAGTTTTTTAGGAATACGGCTGGCACTCCGGACCTGGACCTTTCCTTGAATCAAGATTCTTCATCACTTTTTCAATGCATTCTACCGACAGGTATATATTAGAAAGGGAATTATTATTGTCATAAGATGTACTGCCAACGTGTGGCATTAGAATAGCAGGATCATTAGCCACCTATACTGATGAGAAGTGTTGTGCAAAGGCATTACAAATTGACTGAGGAGTATCAAACTTGGTATTATCCAAATGCATTACAGAGGGCATCGTAACGACTTTCTTGCGATTGTTTTTGACATAGCTCCAGAAGGCTTTAATGTTATTCTTGCTAATAGAGTTTTCAATATGATACAAATATCGACGGTAACATTTTTTTATTAGTAAATGGCATCTATATCTTGCCTCTTTGAACTCAAAATCATCTACAGGATTATTATAAAGCTTTAGTCTCTTCCGTAATTTTTCCGTTTCTCTAAGCATTTGAATAAGGTTTTTAGAGTACCATGCAGGATACTTATTACATTTTGCAGAAACTTTAGGTACGTACCTTTCTATAGTTTGATTAACGAGTAGAATGAATTAACCATAGCATCGACTGAGTCTGTATTTCTGAGTTCTTGATCCCAATCAACACAATCAATTTTTTTATTAATTTGAGCATAATCTGCACGATAGAAATTAAATTTTAAAATTGTCTGCTTTTTCAAACACTTATGAACTGTAAAGTCAATATTAATATTAATCGATGGATGATGTGTATCAAGACTCACAAGAGGATCATCTACAAAACCAACATTAACAGATGAACCACTTGAGAAAACTAAATCCAGCAGTTTATTATTCCCATTCATAATATTATTAAATTGCGTTAGATTATTTAATGACATGAAATCAGACAAGGATTGATAGAGAATACAATTTCTGAATTTGGGAGACATAGCTGACGATGACATTGATTTACATGGGACCCATTCAATATTTCCCAGATTAAAGTCGCCTATAATTAACATTTTATCGTAAATGTCTAGTGAAGATAATCCACTAGAAATATTGCTGAGCAAATTATTGAGGTCTACTGAAGATACAGGTGGTGGGAGATATAAGGCACATATAACTAATTTACCTAAAACTCCCTTGGAGTCGGTGATCGAAACCCATTAATCCTCAGAACTGCTTTCCAAGTATGGAAGACGAGAAGACGTAAGATTATTAGAGACAGCTATAAGGACTCCACCTCCGTCCTTTTTGATAGAAGATGTAGTGGCGCGATCTCTACGATAAATCCGGTAGTTATTATTTAGAATTTCCGCATCAAATACACTGTCATTAAGCCATGTCCCCGTCAAAACAATTACATCATAACTTTGGTTAAGACTAGATATATATAATTCATGTAATTTACCACGTATACTTCTAACATTTTGATAATAAATATTTAGTTGATCGAATTTTGTATTAATATGGATAATAATACTTACTATAAACTAAAAAATCAAATAAATAAAAGGGAATAAGAGAAAGTCAGTGCTTCAATGATTGAAGTACATCACCATTCCGGATCCAAAGAATAGGGGACTCGTCATCTTTTCTCATTAGAATACGACCATTTTCGAACCCATAGATATTTGTACTTTGCCTCCTTTCTAAATAAACGGGCTTGAGCATGCAAAGAGCGATTACTTGGAGACAGATGTTCACTTAAATAAATTTGTTCCTTGTCTCCCGCCAAACCCAGGAGACCACTGTTGAGTTTGTCGTCAGGGTGAGCTTTATTATACGCGAGACAGGCCGCGATCATACTATCACGAACTCGAGGTGAGGACAGTTTTACTATCACCGCCTTGGGTCTTTTTGATTTAGGGTTCAACTTGGCTACTCTCGTGCAAGACAGTATATTTTCCTGTTCCAGCGGACAACTCAACACCTTAGCGAGTTGTATTACAGTGTTGGGTAAATTCTCTTTGGAGAATTCAGGTAAGCATTGGATTTCCAAATTGCACTCACGTGCCTGCTGTTCTATGGTATTCACTTTGTCTGTAAGCTCATTAACGATCCCAGTTAACTTTAGGTTCTCCCGGCGCAAATCTATAGTTGATGTCTTAAGTTTTTCCAGTTCAGTGTTCACTCATCATATCTGTTTGACAAAAATTCGATAGTTTGTTTCAAATCAGGTATAAGTTTAACGGCGTTCTGCAAAGCTTCGAGTTCCGAGCGAAAGATGGATTCCATTTTCTTCACTCCACTCCACCTATATATCTCTCATTGAAGGCATCGAGAGGAAATTTGTTTGAGGAGGATATCTGTTCTTTCGTACAAAGGAACGTTATCATTCAGGTCGATCTGCAAAAAGCATCATCTTCTCCCCTTAGAGATGCGTCGCGAAATTGCGGATTTAGTTTTCCTCAGTAGGATCGCTTCTGGGGCTGTTGACTGCCTGGAACTCCTATCAAAGATCTTGTTTGGAGTGCCCCCCAAACCGCTTAGGAATAATCCTATTTTAAGTATCCCCCCTACTTCTACAAATTATCGGCAGAACGCTTTTCTTTGTCGAGCAAGTAGCAGCTTCAACTCACTATCAAAACAGGTAAATTTAGATCTTTTTAAAACTAACGAGGCGTCGATTAGACGTTTCTTTGCTCGTTTGTTTTTTGGAGATTATAATTAATATAATAATAATAAACAGTTATTCCAGACTTCAATTCCATAGACAAGTGTATGTACTTAACATGTGCGTAATTTGTTATTCTGTTATTTATCATAAGTACCTCATTTATAAAACTATATTTAAGAGATTTTTTACATTGGACAGTGCAAATAGTTTCTTTAAAACGTTTAGTTATGTCTAGATGTGAGGACCTGTAATTGGCTCTTTGTCGCTACTATTCATTTTTAGTATATTAAGATAAGCTGTTGGTCTTCCATGTAACCATAAAAAAAAAAGTAATGATTCTTTCGATATTAAATATATGTTCAGTGATATATTGTCGAATATTCGTGCTTTCATCATTAAAATAAATAGTATCGGTCCGCTAGTGCAGCGATTGTAGGTTATGCTATAATTGACAAAACTATAACAATAAGTTAACAGAACTATTTCGTGACATTTGATTAATATTGAATAGAACGTTGTCACGTTCAACTAAAAATTTAAATTCTAATAAATTTTATTTAGATTTATCTTTTTCAAAGTGAAATAAATTAAAAGTTAAATATTTTGAGTAGGTATATCATTCTTCTAATATGAAGACTTTCATTTTACCAACTCTATCATAGAAAGATATATAAATATGCTTACATGTGTAACAGTATGTATTCTATCCATTGTCCTAGTATCCCATAACACAAGCCTACAGTGCTTACTTTGGGGCTAGGCTAATCGGTGGAGTGTTGGAAATTATTTATTTAATATTGTAATGTTGTCGCAGGTGGCGGAGGGGTACCTGCAGTTCCGCATGGAGCTGGGGTCGGGCCCGGCGCTGGTACGCGCGGCGGTACCGGTGTCGGACGGCGCGTGGCACGAGGCGCGGCTGGAGCGGCGCGGCGCCGGCATGCGACTCACCGTGGACCGGCGCAGCGCCGCCGCCACCACGCCGCCGCCCGCCGCCGTGCTCGACGCGCGCCCCGACCGCCTGCTCGTCGGCGCCGCGCTCATGCGGCACGCGCACGCGCTCGCGCCCGAGCAAGTCAGTGTACTCGCTTTAAACGTCCTATACGTCCATACTTTATTTATTTATATATTTTGGTTTTATTAAAAATGTACTAGAGACTGTTGTCATTTGTAACACAATAGTAACACCATGAAGTTGGCCGCGGGCGCGTTATGAATGTTAGTGTCTAATAATGGTGGATTATTAACCACTTAGTGGTTAATAATCCACCATTATTAGACATCTGTTCGAAAGGTACTTTGAACTATCCACGGAGCTCCATAAGATGATCGCGTTGTCAAAAACAATGTTGGCACGCTCGTCGCCTCTGATCACTGTTTTCATATTTATAATATTTATCCACATGTTTCTAGTTTCTATATAGACACAACGTGTTTTAGTTACTTACAAGTGCTAATTACATATGGACTAATAACTTAAATTCAGTAGTGATTTTAATTGAATATTTTGAATATTTATTTAATTTTTCAAATTAAAACTGAACTTAATTGACTGTGTTAACTATCCTTTTCCAGTCCTTTTATTATTTTATTGTAATTATTAATTATTTGCATGCAATTAAAAAATAGCCATGAAAAGTTAAACTTATATACTAAAATTGACAAACTCCTAGTTGTAACAAAACCAGTATAAAGTTATATATATATATATATATATTTAAAAATATACATAGGTCCAACATCAGTTGCCAAGTGTGTATTTTGCGTTTTACACAGATTTTGACAGTTCTGTAATAGTTTCTATGAAAACTAAGCAGCGGCCCTGCCGGACGAGAGAACAAACTGGCTCTTTCTATACAAAATTTAACGACTACAGTACGATTATGAAGCTGTCAAAATTTGTACTTGAGCCTAAATTTAAAATGTTGTTGAAATGTGTCGTGTCATACTTAGGTGACGTACGGCTTCCACGGGTGCATATCTGAGCTGAAGCTGGGCGGCATGTTGCTGCCCCTGGAGGAGGGCGGCACGTCGGGCGACGGTCGCGCGGCTCTGGTGCGGCGCGTACGCGCGCGGCTGGCGCCCTCCTGCGCGCCGCTGCCCCCGCCTACGCCCTGCGGCTCCGCGCCCTGCCTCAACGGGGGCACCTGCCGCGACGCGCATACCTTGCTGGAGGGCGCGCCCGACTCCGAGGGCTACACTTGTCAGTGCCACGCGCGCTTTCTGGGTCCTCGCTGCGAGGTACTGATCTTTCATTGTCTTTCTTGTCTAGAACAAAAGTTTTGGCTTCTGTTGTTTACAATAATGTTTGAACGAGAGAGGTAGTACATTACGGATTTTCTGCTCTATTTGGAGCGCCCACCTGGATCAGGGCAGGCTACAGCGCGAGTATTTTTTTTTATATCGCAAGAGTCTATAGACTTGGGAGCCCCGCTTATCGTCAGGCAGGCTTGTTTGCCACCTTTTGAACATAAAAAAAACAAAAATAATCATTGCTCTTTGTTATCAAGCGATACACAGGCTGCTGAATTCCATTCCTAGAAGCCAATTTTGTACTTTTACTATATTTGATGGGCCACGTGAACTATTTTTATTTTAGATTCAGTCTTCACTAATGCTATATATACATTATATTTATATATTGGTGCCAATTTGCATGATTCCTTAAACTTAAAACTGAACTAAACATCAGTCTCTCATTTTCATTTTGTTTACAAAATGGCGCCTCCTCAGGCGCAATAAGTATAGTGACGATTTGCGCAAGATGGCTGGCAGGAGCTAGATGCGAGTAGCCCAAGATTGATCTGAGTGGCGTGCATTTGGAGAGGCCTATGTCTACCAGTGGACTAAGATAGGCTGTTGATGATACAAAATGACAAGGATACGGTTTTGTCAAATTTAAATTTAGGTTAGGTTAGGTAGGTAATCAAGTCAGAATCGACACCATTATAGCTGAAGGTACATATTATAACTCCTGTAAGGTGTAAGTCCCACAAATTAATGTAAAATAAAAAAAGAAGAATAAATTTCGTAATATATTAAAACTGGTAAATGGTAATGGTATGAGCACACTCGGTTTGAATGGTGTTCGAATGTGTACTAACTTAAATAAATTATAATTAAAATTATTGCACAAAATAAACTGGGTCAATAAGTAAACTGATGACCGCGCGCTATGATGTGAGTTGAATGCACTGTACTTCGTACAACACCTTATAAATAAACGACGACTAACCAGGTTTTATCTTGGTTCATCGAATTTGATATTGCATTTGAGTGATATGATAAAAACGCGTCGCAACTAGTATAAAGTTTGTTCCTCGCTTATGAATAAGAAGGATAATGTTAACATTGTCCCTGCGCGTTGCGCGTCCGGCAGGTGGACACGGACCCGTGCGCGTCGCAGCCGTGCCTGCACGGCGGGTTCTGCTCGGCGGTGCCGGCGGGGTTGGCAGCTGGCGGCGCAGGCGCGGGATACCGGTGCGCATGCGCGGGAGGGCTGGGCGGCGCACGCTGCGAGCGCGGGCGCTGGTGCGCGGCTGGCGTGTGCGCTCACGGGGGCGCGTGCGAAGAGGGCGACTGGGGCCCGTCGTGCCGGTGCCGCGGGTACTACGGCCCGCGCTGCCAGTACGACGTCGACGAGTGCGCCGGCGAGCCCTGCCTCAACGGCGCCACCTGCCTCAACGAGCCCGGGTCCTTCCGTTGCCTCTGCCCGCCGGACAAGACCGGTGAGACTGACACCCGTCACCCGTGGCCTGTACTGGAATATGATTTGGATGAGATCTATTCTAAATATACCTCATACGTTCAGAATAGATCCCGAGCTATTGCAATTAGCCATATACATTCTGGAGTACCCCAAAGTTCAATCTTGAGACCCTTGTTGTTCGTAATATTTATTAATGACGTAATCACATATCTAATAGGTACACACTGAAGTATTCTTTGTACTTCTAAAATTAAATACTGCATTGCATATCTAATCAACACCGAAACGGTATCTTGTCACCCCGAGATAAGAAGTGATACAGTAATTATGCGTTTCGGGTTCAATATTAATATAGATTTCATACGTTACATTTAAATATTATTTACAAATACCCATTTCTCTCTTTTATCATAATAGTATATGTGAGTAACACTGTAATCAAAATGGTTATCCAATAAAAAAAAAACTTTTATTTACAACTAAAATTACCTACTACTAGACAATGAGAAACGGAAATGCTTTATTCGCCAGGCATGAATTGCGGAAACCCGCTGTATTCGGACGCCGTAGTATCGGGAGGTGCGGGCGGTGGCGGGACGCGCGCGCTTCATGACATCTGGCGGTGGGCGTGCGACTCGCGCTGGCCGCTAGCGGCCGCGGCGGCGATCCTGCTGGCGTTACTGCTCATTGCCGTCGCGTTACCGCTCGCTCTCCGCCGCCGCGCGCGCCGTCGAACTGCGCGCTCGCCGAAAGACGAGCCGCTCAATAGCGAGAAACTCGTCCCGCGTACTTCCAAACTGTCCAACCTCGAAGCTGTATCGCGACGAGATAGGCCGACTTCCTGCGCGGACCCGCCCCCTCTCAACAACGTGGATACGCTGCGCAGCTATGGCTCCGCCGGCGATGAGCTCGAGGGCATCCCGCCGGACTATCGCCGGAATCTCAATATCGAACCGGCGACGGACCGGAAACCGTGGTCGGAGCAGATGCATCTACACACATTCGTCGACAATAAGATATACAATGGTGAGTTTGGTTTATATATTTTTACCTATCATCATTATTAACCTTGCGTTTCGTTCATGTTTGTGTAACACGAGGTCATTCGTACTTGCTATTTGTCATTTGGCAATAGTATGTCCTTTATATAAATAAGCTTGATATTACCGTTCCTCATAAAACATAATAAGAACAAGCCTTTATCAAGTTTACAAACAGCAAATATGAATAGCCATGAGAAGTGCCGGCATAACAGAGCCGTCAAACTTTCTGTTTAATTACTTCATGAGGAAGAAAGACCTTTCAATATATTCCGGGTACCGACGACATAACGAGTCAAGGTCTACAACAGTCGTGTTTCATTAGGGATTAATAAAAAAAGTGCTTTTGGGTATTGCCAGATTTAGTCACAATATTATATGATAAGATAAGATAAAAACTCTTTATTGCACAACACAGGAACAAAACAAGTAGAAAAATACAATATTGCACAAAGGGCAATCTTATCGCTAATGAGCGATTTCTTCCAGACAACCCAATGAGCTGGAAATAAAATAATGTAAGCGAATAAGGGAGGTTGTGCGGAACACACGGCAAAGGTTTTCCTGATAATTAGATAAGAAGAAGACGAAAAGGGGGAAAAAATATTAAAATAAAAAACAATACAATAAGAGAAATATTAATATATAGGCAAACATTTATACTCAAATACTTCACAACGCTACCGAAACCGGTAAGTTCTAATGCAAGATTTATGAAAAATTAAGTTCCTCCGACAAAATATGCTCCTTAACTAGAGACTTAAAACAGTCTTAAGTTTGGGCACGCCTTATCTTTTCGGGCAGGGAATTTCAGAGTTGGATGGCATGTACAGTAAAAGAATGGCTATACGCCTTGGAAAAGTTAGAAGGACTGAAAAGAAGAAGATTGTTAGATGAACGAAGTGGAAGATTATGGGAGGAAGAAAGAAACTGAAAACGTTCTTAAACAGTTTTTAAGAGGTAAACAGGAGTTTTTGGATTGAACAGTGCTGAGAAAAGTAGGAATAATACATGTAGATCTCGGCGTCGACGAATGGGAAGCCACTTTAATTTTTGTCTGTAGTAAGAAACATGGTCGTACTTACGCAAACCATATAATATGAACCTAATGGAAAAAAATTGCAGTCGTTCCAGTTTACTAAAAAGATCAAAGGTAAGATAAGGATAACAAACATCTGCATAGTCAAGAATTGGTAGAAGAAGGGAAGTTGCAAGAGAAATATTGGGGGCAGTAGGTAAAAAGTTACGCAAACGCCGCAAAGATCCGGCCACAGCGAAAGTTCGTCTACTAACCTCAGCAACCTGATGACACCAAGATAGGGTGCTATAAAATCATCATCATCAGCCTATTAATGACCCCACTGCTGGGGCACAGGCCTTCTCTATGGATGAAATAGAGTTTGGGCCGTGACCCACCACGCGGGCCCAGTGCGGATTGGTGGGTGCTAACGACTGCAGATGCAGCCGGGACCAACGGCTTAACGTACCTTCCGAAGCACGGAGGAGATCGAGATAGTAAAATTTTTTTGGTCACCCATCCAATGACCGACCGCTGCGAAAGTTGCTTAACTTCAACGATCGAAGCCGAACGCGTTAACCACTTGCGCCATTGAGCTCCTCTAGCTATAAAATATTACCCTTAAATTCCAAACTGTATCTGAAAATGGGATAACAGTTCCATTCAAAGTAACTGATGGCAGTTGCTTAAAGTGCGTCCGTGATATGAAGTAAGGGCTACCAATAATTATGCACTGCGTTTTTGTCGGATTAATTTTTAGTCCAAATGAGTGGCTCCATTCCGTTATAAGTGCTAAGTCAGAATTTAGATTATTAATGGCACTGTTCAAATTTTCTAATCGAACCTGTGTGTAAATCTGAAGATCGTCTGCATACAGATGACAGGTAGAAGTTAAGTTAAGAGTAATGGAATTGATGAAGATAGCAAAAAGCAAAGGAGATAGCACACCGCCCTGAGGAACACCGGCTGTGAGTGTACACCATTGAGAGAAGGATTCACCAACAACTACACGCTGCTGGCGTCCATTTAGATAACTACGAAACCAGTCAATGACCGCAGGAGATATGTTAAGGGAACACAGCAAACTCAACAGGATTTCAAAGTCAACATTATTGAAAGCATTACTAAAGTCTAGTAACGTTAAAGCTGTAAGTTGCTGATTCTCCATGCCAAAGCGAATATCATCGGTGATCTTGACAAGTGCACTAGCTGTGCTATGGCCAGGACGGAAATCAGATTGTATAGGATTGAGTAAGTTATTCACACGAAGGTATTTTCACTGGTTTGATTGTGTATAAGACGCTCAAGAACTTTAGAAAGGAAGGGAAGGATGGAATAGGATGGAAATCAGACATACAATCAGGATTGGATTTTTTGGGAAGTGGAATGACTTGAGCTACTTTCCAAATTCTTGGAAAATTGCTAGAGGAAATGGATTGGTTAAAATTTTGGGTGATAACTGGAGATAGAATATCAAGTAAAGGAATGATCATGTTACGGCCAATAGTGTCATTGCCTACCGCTTTGGAATCGATGGCACGAATGCTCCTCTCAACATCACTATCGGAAAATTTACTAAAAGTAAAAGGAGTAAAATCTGGTGTTGGCATAGAAGAAAGATACCTTAAAGTTTTCTCTTTGACATGAATGTCAAGAGAAGACGATACAGAGAAATGACCATTCGGGCGATTGATGTCTAAGTTTTGAGACAAATTGACATTTCGTGATTTGCCAACGACGAGAGACCTTAAGAACTTCCAGACCTTAGCGGGAGCACCGCTTTCCACAGATTTATGGATATGGCGGCGCTGTGCGTCCCTGCACACTGTATTGCAGCGATTCCTGATTCTATGATATTTATCACGGTTACTATCTGTGGGGTTGCACTTTGCCTTAGCATTATTTTATTTAGCCATAAAAAATTGATGTCGTCGGACAACCAAGGTGTAGGCAAATGCTTGATCTTTATAGGTCTATTGGGTGAATGGACATCATAAAGCTGAATTAAAAGATCATTAAAAGTATTTACTTGTTCATCGACGGTAACGCCGATGTTGATTACTGACCAATCAACCACTCTAGCATCATCGCGCAACTTGTCCACATTCATACCACCAAAATTACGTTGCATAATGATTTTGGGCTTAGCCTTAGGAGGACGTATTTTATAGGAAACGTATATTAAATCATGATATGAGAAGGCATCTGCGGTGAATTGGCCATGTTTGGCAACATGAAAGGGAGAAGAAACAATAAAATTATTAAGTCAAGAAGAGAAGGTGTACAATTGGGAAAATAGTGAGTGGCATTAAGAGGGAGAATATGCATATTGCAGGCATTGACGAGTGACTTCAAGGCATTGGCCCGTAAATCAGATTTTAAGAGGCACGTGTTAAAATCACCCATTATAATGGAATGGCTAGGACGGGGTCAAGTCTTCTAGCAGTTTCTCAAAGGAAGAAAAGAAATTGACTCTTAGAGAAGGGCTATAGTAAACACCTAACAGAACTTTAGAATGAAAAAGTGTAACTTCAAGAAGAAGGTGTTTTGCAGTATCCTGTGGAGGGGGTAGCATAGATCGACTTATACCAGAAAAAGGAATGTGATTACGTAGATAGATAGCTACTCCGCCATGAGACATATTAGTCCGATCGTTGCGAATAAATTGAAAACCAAGGAGAGAGTATGAGTTAAATTGAAGACAAGGATGAAAAAAGGATTCAGAAACAAGTACTGCGTGAATGCTCTTGTCAGAAAAAGTAGCAAGGAAGTCAGGATAGTGTGCTGGAATACTCTGAGCATTAATATGAACAACATTGAAGTTTTTGGAAACGTCTGACATGACAGTCTGTAGATTATCCTTTAAGGAAGTTATACTGCAGAAGCTATCATCACTGCTCAATCCATCAGAGGAGAAAGAGAGAGACATAAAATCATTACTATTATTACCTCCGGCAGCCGGCATGCTACTGCAAAGTACAAAGCAATTATACACCTATACAGTTAAAATAGTAATATATATATATATATATATATATATTCTCTCTTGTTCTCAACACAACCCACCAGCAAAAAATTAAAAATGTCAGGAGCACATTGCACAAAACAAATAACAAAATTTATACAAAACACGAATTACACATTATTCAAAACACAGACAACATAACAAAACGTAAAAGCTAGAAACGTAGATAGACATAAAATATAAGAAGCTAATGGTATAGACAGACATAATAAAAAGCCATTCCAGAATCGGTACCAATGTCAACATTGACATTTGTTACACCTATAGTACGATTATTAATTCCAGTCAGTAAAATGACATTTCCAATGTTGCAGGTTTTTTGTCCCAAATAAATAGTGATGTGGTAGAATCGAGTTTTTACAATTAAAAGTTAGTCGAGATTACATTTTTTTATGTAGGGCGTAGGTTCCGAACTCAACCCAATGCCAAAAGTAAAGTTTGACGTACAGTACAGCTGTCAGCTGTCATTCTTAAAAGGTAAGTCCAAAGAGTAACATAAGTGGGGTAAGTCCTTGGGAGTTTTTGGCGGGGTTTCATCGAGTGCGCTTGGCGTCTTATTTTAATTATTCTTAAATTTGTTCATAGTGGATATTGTGAAATAAAATTGGTGTGATTTTGTGTTACAACCGTCTGCGCAACTGAAGAATTAGTAGAATCTTTAAAATATACGCTATTCCGGTCAAGTGGACGTGAGAATTTTATTGTAGTATTGACTACCTCACAGAAGCTTATCGAAAAAGCCAACTCGATATATTTCGTGCCAAACACTCCAAGAAGCATAAGAATGCGTCACACCCACATTCTAATGTGAAAAAAGGAAGATTAATACAAAAATAAGACGATGGCTGCATGGCTATGCGTTTGCCTTTCTCAATAGAGAAGAATAGAACTAAAAAAAATCCTTGGAGGGCTTAAACGCTTAATATAAGTTTCTAAATCTGGATATAAATGCTTTTAAATCAAAAGCAGAAAAACTACAAATTTATTAATCCCCTCAATATATTACAATAGAGCATGTATACCGGTCTCTCATGAAGCTAAGTTTTTGGGGGTGACTTTTACCTTGTCATGGAAAAAATATGTAGATTTAATTTGTTTAAGAGCTAATAAAGTTTTCAATATCTTGAAAATACTGTGTACAACATCTTGGGGAGCCGATCCTAAAATCTTATTACTTTTGTATAAATCTTTAATGCATAGTCATTTTGAATATGATTTTCTATGTTATGCTGGCGACAATAAATTGGTTGATATCCTGGATAAATTACAAAACAAAAGCTTGCGACTCATCACAGGAGCTTTTAAAAGCACTCCTATTAATGTAATGCAGGCAGAGTGTAATCTTTCTCCATTAAAAATAAGATTCTCATACCTAAAAGAAAAATTCCTATTGAAGCTATTTAGTCGAAATAATAATCACCTGTTTTTAAACTTAAAATGTGCCTCAATTCATGCATCATTCTATCTACATACTGCAAGGTTGCACATTATTTCTAAATTTTCTGGAATCTCTAGACATTCACAAAACTTCCCTTCTTCCTTGTTATCAGGGAGATTTTAACAACAAATTTTCTGCAATTAACATTATTATTGATCACAAGTTATCCTGTAAAGAAGACGTCTATGTTAAATTTTCTGAATACATTGGTTATACATTTCTTTATACTAATGGATCTAAAACTGAAACTGCAGTTTCATTTGCAGTTTTTGATGGGTTGTTAAATTCTACGGTTGGCTATAAAATAAATTCAAATTTAACTATATTCACTGCTGAGGCTTTGGCTATTCTTTCTGCTTTAAAGCATATAAAACACAAAAATAATGGATGTCAGAATTGGGTTATAGTTAGTGATCCTATGAGTGTTCTAGAAAATCTTAAAAATAATAGATTTATTGCTAACACAAACTTTGTTGTTTCATTGATAAAAGAGTTATGGTCAGATTTAACTTCTGTATATAATTTTGAAGTTTTGTTTATGTGGGTTCCATCACATGTTGGTGTGAAAGGAAATGAAAGGGCTGACTTTTTAGCTACAGCTATAACCAACTCTTCAAATGTTATTCCTGATTCTAGTGCTCACCTTAATATCTCTGTGTCATATGGAAAATGCATTGGAATTACACTATACGAAGTGAAAATAAAGGTTTGTGGTATGCTGTATACAATGTCCCTATTGGAACTTCGCCATGGTTCTGTAAAAGTCCTAGCTACATCAATAAAAAAAAATATACCACTATTCTTAGGCTCCGTTTTGGACACTGTCGTTTAAATTTTCATCTCTTTCGTTTAGAAATGGTGCAGAGTTCACATTGTAATTATTGTGACTCTGCATCAGAACAGTCTTTGTCTCATGTGTTCTTTGATTGCTCATCCTTTGGCATTCAGCGCCTTGTGTTGATGGATGAGCTTATCGAAATATATGGCCAATCAGAGATGGTTCCGCGCTCAATTCAGGATCTTCTTTTAAATAGCTGTACTTAATTATTTAAATTTATTATTAGCACTGTAGGGCAAATTTAAAATTGTAGGTTATGTCATATGTTACTCATTATTTTGTTTTGTCTTGGTAAATATTTATTCAAGTGTTCAAATATTTTGTTACAGTCTTTATAACTTTGAAATGTTTTTCTTTATATAGGGTGAAGTGCTGCAAGGTTCTGGGTATTGTTGTCTTCTGTCATTCTGACGGTCTTTTAGTTGCGTTCTTTAATTAAAATATATAATTATTCTTCAATATAAAATAAACAAACTAAAGATGAGGCTGTATGGGCTTTAGTTCCCCTTGCCTTCCCTAAAAAGGGAAAATATTTAAAAAAAACGTCCCAACAGGGACAAATTGACCTTTAGTTCCCCTTGCCTTCCCTAAAAAGGGAGAATATTTAAACCATAAAAAAAGTACAGCTGTCTATCTATATCTGTTGACATTGAATTGAACGACGTTTCAACGCGACATAAAATGTTTTATTGGTTTATCGAGTACACAAATTATTAAAATATAATATTAGATTAAGTGGGTAAAGTTATACGATGGAGGAAACATTGCAAGAAACAGTTTACAAGATACGCAATGCGTGTACTCACAGAAACATTGCTAATATACGACGCTTGAATTTATTTAATAAAACCAAATAAAAGCTTTTTTGCTCACTCTACCTTTTTCGTTTAAATTGACAGCTATGACGTCACAATATAGCGCCTCGTCGATCCTATTCTTAGTTGAATTGCATTATACATTACTTCTTCACCACACGTCTCTTGAACCTATCTTGCACTTTAGAGACGGCTGAGGCCTCGGCTGGGTTGTCAGTTTTACCTTCGGCCGGGCCGTTAGTTTTATTCTCAGCTGCGGAAGACGAAGGAATGAAAACCGGAATCTAATCCATATCCATGAGACAATTCACCCGTTGTCGCTTGTTATCGGGATCCATCACATAAATGCTTCCATCTTGCGTCCAGCACCTATTGATACCGTACTTCTTTCTCACCGTCATAAACAGTGTGTGGCGTTCACTTGTAAGAAATTCGGATAAAGTTATACCAGTACCTTTCAGATGTTTTTTGGCAAACCAGACCTTGTTCCTTACAGATGCATCAAAGAACTTAACCAAAATAGGCCTGGGTTTATTATCCATAGGTCAACCTTTCCAATGAATGCGGCCAATATCTTGCCTAGACAAAGTAGTAAGCTTGAGCCGTTGTATTGCCAAGCTAAGGAACATATCTGCAACAGCTTCATCCTTTTGCTCAGCCACTCCGTACACGAGAAGCGTACGCCGCCGACTACGTATTTCATGCCGATTAGCTTCCTGAGTCAGGTATTCCACTTGTTTTTGAAGCATATCCAGTACACCACAAAAGTGCAGAATCTAGCAAAGTCCTCTGCTATAGATGTGGTATTCGCTGATGTTGATGGGACAGCCTTTTGAAGATCTAGTTGGTATTCAGCCATCCTAGTGTTGAATAGTGTAGACATTTCTTCAATAGATTTCTTGACTAAATCCATGACGAACAATGTGTTTCTTTACAATGTTAAGTGCAGTATTCAAAGGGAAGGAAATTATATTTCTGGTAGGTTTATGTGATTTACTCTTTCATAAACAGTTGTAAATATTTATATAACAGGATTATATATTTTAAATCCAAATTAAAAGCTGGAGCTCAAAAAAGTATTTGTATAATGCGACTAAATCTTCGGTTTGTTTTCAAAGAATGACTCATCGATCCAATGTTCATCGCTCATGTCTTTGAACAGATCTCAAAGGCTGCAAGAGTCGGGCGCGAACACGATCCCCGGCGCTCGGGCGGCTCGTGGCGGGTCTGCCTCCCGGCGAGCCTCACATGGTGGGCGGGTACCACTGGGACTGCTCGGACTGGTGCGGCGGCGGCGCGCTGCCCGGTATCAGCGAGGTGGCGGGCTCCGAGCGCCCCGACACCTCGCCCGAGCCCCCGCCTCCCACCATAGAGCCGCCCGACCAGGAGCCCAGCGACGCGGACACCGCCAGATTCGCCGACGGTACCTATCACCTTTGCGGTAGTGTACGGTACACCTTAATGATCCGTATAAGCCGCGGAATGAAACTTTAGCTCTGACCGTTATTGCGCAGAAGTAAAAATTAATATGTCTAAGGGTAAAACGAGGTACGCGGGTGGGTGTGCGTTGCGTTGATTGGCTCTCCAGTCGTACCCATGCGCAGCCCCTCCGTGTTTTGTTCAGCGCGAGAGTTGCGTACCGCGACCTGTACGAGTATTCTTTTTTTAAAGTGTAACTTTTATTACAACGCTACAGTATTTTTCGTTCACCGTATTACATTTTTGTATAATTTATATGGATGCTGTGTTACATTTTTAATTGTTAAAAAGAATATCGGACTTCATTAACGAGGATCAGCGGTCGATAGTTGAAGGGCTTAAATCCCAGCCAAAGAAGGACTTTCTTTATTAAGAATTTAAAAAAATCCACTTGCGACGTGGTTCCATAAAACCTCACCAATTATTTTATATTGATTTAGGGATTTGCTTTTGATTCCATATAAAGGCCAGAAACAGAGATGGAAACTACGATGTAGCGAGTGGTAGCGAGCTTCCTAGAAAGAGATTATTCACTGTGACTTTATTGACATAATCACAATGACTATTTAATATTTTTGAGATTGGAAACAGTATTAACAATAGTAATTGACTGCGTCTGCCATTTTCAAAACCATGTTAATTTTTTTGACGCCAATTAATTTTACTTTTCTAAAATTTCATGCATAGCGAAACTAGTAAGTTTTTTGAGCATATAACTCGTGTGGTGAAGTGTAGATGACGTTTTCCACCTGTTGATAACACTTCCCGATACGATTAGGTATCTAAGCCCTAAGCAAGTGTCGTTAACTTATAGTAAGTAGTATTTAACATGAAGGATAAGTTAATAAATTGTTGATCCCACACTGAATGCTTGTGTCACTCACCGCATTACCCACTCAATGCAGTATTTTTAGGATCCAAAATACATATTTTAGAATTATCTTTCAATCATTCGCAATTTCGTTGCGTGAAAACAATCAAAACGAGTCTTAAAACAAATAGAAATTGAAAAAAAAATGTTTTAATCGCAGTATCGTCGTACCTCTTGCACCCTGACGAGTACCTGCCGCCGGCCGCGTCGGAGTGCGACCTGCGCGCGCGCGCCCTGCGCCAGCCCGACGCCGCCAGCCTCATCACCATGCTAGGTACGTATATAAGGTCATACCTTTTATTGGTAATAAATAGATCGATGACATATTCAAGGTTCTAAGTGAAGCTTTCGATCGAGTTTCCCATTATATATTACTGATGAGACTACGGTGCGATCACTCGGTGTGCGGCGTTTCAGGTAAATTATAACAATGGATTAAGTTTCATTTACTTAAACGTAAATTTATGCAGTTGTGAAGAGGTTTCAATGAAATCGCTTAAAATATTTGTAGTACTGTATCACAGGGCCAAAGTTGGGTCCTCTTTTTTATTTACATTTGTTAATGATATACCCAGCTTTACGAATCGTTCCATTCCATTTTGGCAAGGTATCCAATAGCTCGGATGACAGATATAATAATTTATAGTGAACTTGATAAAATAAAAATAAATCATTTTCAAAGTCGCACGTATGCACGTCTGGAGCTCAAATCAGTCGATCACAGGCAGTCGAAACGCTTAAAACATTGACTATTTACAGAGGAGCGGAACTCGCTCCTGGGCGGCGACGAGGAGGGGTCGTGCAGCGACCTGTCCGCCAACCTCTGCGAGATCGAGGAGTCCGACGCCGACGACGAGCGCGCCGACCGCACGCGCGCGCGACACACCGACGTGTGACGCCGGCCCGCGGCCCGCGCGCCGCCCGCGACCACCGCGCCGACACACATCGCGCGCGGCCTTTAGCGGCGCCGGCGCCGGGAGCGAGACCGTCTGCGGAGCGACCTTTCGCCGACCAACACTACCAGACATATAAGTCGCGGCACGAAACTTTAGCGCTCACCGTTATTGCGCACAAGCAAACATGAACATGTCTTGGGGGGAGACGAGGTGCGCGGGTGGGCGTGCGTTGTGCCGATCCCTGACGCGTTTTGTTGAGCGCTAGAGTTGCGTGCCGCGACCTGTCCTCCCCGATGAACTCGGTTCGATGGATGGCGACTCCGAATCCGGTCCGGTCCGTCGGGGGCGGAGCGAACGAAAGACCTCGTGCGACCGAGCGACGATAACTATGTACCTGAACGACGCGAACGAAAGAGCGGGGCGACCGGAAATCCGCGCCGGAGAATTGTTCCTAGTGTGTGAATTGTGAATGATACGACTCGACTGCCGAGCGAGTGCTGCATCAGTGTGGGTGAAACGTCCCCTTCGCTACGATCGAGTGACTGAGCGTCCGAAAGTTTAAACGTCACCGCCGCTCAACCAAACGATAAATAAGATTAATCATAGATGTCCGCGCGGGCGCGTTTCGCTTCGAATGTGGCGGGGTTGACGTTTTACGTTTTTCGCGGGACCACGCCGTAACTAGCATTTATAATGTAACGTGACATTGCCTATTAATTGTAACTTTTAGTTTATTGTAATAAAATTTGGTCCTATAGAGGCATACCCGAAGACTTCAACACGTCCGGCGACCTCGGACTTTTTTTTTATTAAAACAGTTCATGACATGGAGAAATCAGAGTTATAGTGTAAATAAACAGTCTAGTATATTAAATATCATGTAAATAATGTTTGTACGTCGCATTGTATATAATGTACATGTGTATGAGTGTGCACAGTGAGAGACGCACTCCGATGACTGTCTACAAAATAATGTTATTATAAAATTATAATGGTGCTCTGACTATAGGTTCATATCATAACTTTAAACTGCATTTATATAAAACTGTAGTAAAATTCTCCTTATAGATTAGCGAATTAAATGTAAGTGATCTATTTTTATATGTATAAATTAATAAATACCTATTATGTATAACAAAAATAACGTAACGCGAGCGGCCGCGGACTCCGGTCAGCTGGCCGCTCGCAGGCCTCTGATCACGATTTAAGTTGTTACCACCATTTACTTACTTCAATCGACACAGTTTAGCAAATGCAAATTCGCATAATAATTTTTCATGACTATTTATTTATAACTGTTGTGTAAGTTTTGACACGACTAATAAATATTTTATAATAAAGAGTGCTGTGTTTTATTTTATTCCTATCACAATCATGGTAAGTTCTTCGATTTTCGTATAAACTATACATTATCTACTCAATAGTAATTTTGGCTACGAAGATATACCATAGCCACCATTGGCCACCATAGCTTATATACGCTTATAGTACCTGAATATCCCTCACGCGTTGCTTACTGTGGCCCATGCCCAAATACACACTAATAACCATTCATCAACTTTGTTTACATTTTGTAACGCTTTCGTTGGCCGTACTAAGGATGAATATTGGACTTCAAACGGATATCTTAAGATCAATTCTTATGACCGAATATGTACGTTGCAATACAACGTAATTTGCAACCAACCTGAAAAGGCAATTGCTCAGTTTACACACTAACCTTTCGGCAATGCAAAGGGCATCGACGAAAACTGCCCCACCATGCACATACGAATGTCATTTTATCCTTTCTATTAATTTATTAACAATTATTCATAGTAAACGGTCATTCTGTGGTAAAAAATGTGCGGAGGAATATGCACACAAATGCAGTCCATCATACTGTCGCAAAAACGAAATTGTAATTACGCCACACATATAAAAAATTACAGCGCCAAATCGGGCATAGATGAAACTTAAGATTTTTTATTGACTGATCTGAAAGGACATTGGGCAAAAATGTATGGGTGCTGCCCCACGTCCGCCACGGCTTAAACTACATTTGTTTGAAAGATATTATAGACAATGGTAGTATTTGTTAAATCCGATCTCTCTGATGTAACTATGACCGAAATAAAATTAGTAAATGCATCTGGTCTCCTAATTAAAATAGGATCACAATTGGCGGTTTTATGCATTTATAGATCACCCTCGATACACTCCATCGACGACTTCTTAAACTCTTTAAATTCTGTCCTGCTAGACATAAAATCTGTAAAAAATCCTATAGTAATCTATAGTAATAGGGGATATTAATATAAACTTAATTAATCCGGACACCCGTTGATAGGAATATTTGACGATGTTGGCTTTTCATGGTTACTTACCAGCGCATAATCTCCCTACTCGCCTAGAAACGTGCTTAGACCATGTGTTTCTAAATACCCAAAATTCTACGACCACTCTAGTGATGATTCTACGTTCACTGATCATTCCGCTACTTTATTGTCCCTAAATACTACACCTGTGACCTTCCCAGGAAAAAAAATATAATAAAACTTGATTTGGAAGGATTAGATAAATCAGTTTCGGCACTTGATTATTCTCAACAACATGCCATAATTGTTCGGCCAAACCTTTTTTATAACTTTTTATTATAAACATCCTGGCACCTTTTTGACGTGTTTTTAAATTTATATTTTTTTATACGTCAGTCTGTCTGTCTGTTTGACACCACTCCTCTCTATTACTAAAACCACAAACATATTAACGTGTCGTGGCGTGACGTGGCGCATCGGTTTCATATATTTATTATGGGTTAGAGACAGATAGAGAGGTTAAAGCGTCGACACGACACGATACGTAAATATGTCTCTCCATAGTAAATGTATGAAACCGTTGTACTTCTGGCGCGCCACGACACGACACGATACTTTAATATGTTTCTGGCTTTACTCGTGTCATATGGTTTGTGTGTTTATCTATATCAGTGTTTTTCTCTCCTAAGTTATAGGCTATGCGTCCAGAGTGCGCAGAAAAAGCTACAATGGAGAGTTCCACAAGCCGTGGCCCTGTAGTAACCGTTAGCCAGAATTCATTTCCAAAGCTAACCGGCCGTACTGTACGAAGTAATCGTACACACGATCGTACAATAAATCATTTAGCAATAACCTAATTTTAATGCTTACCGTGCATTTGCATACGCCGCGACGCTACCATTATGACTTTATACTTAACTATAAATCAGTGCATTTTCAACTATCACTCAAACCGGTCATTTTATTTCTTCTTCTAGGGCATACGGCATAAGCATACAGTACCTTTAGCATAACATAACCGAGCATAGCATTCAGTGTAAGGGTTACAGTGGAGCTTTGCGATGAAAATGACCCTCACACGACCCTCATTGATGCGGATCTCTGGGAAGTCGTGGATAATCCATCCTCTTGTGCGGCTAAACTCACGTAAGAAGAGTTTCAACGCCGCGACTAACGAGCAAGGGCTAAAATATGTCTAAACATAGCCGAGAGCATTTACCCCTTAGTGATGGAATGTGACACGGCTGAAATGACTTGGAATGCATTGAAGAAAACATATGCAGATAGCAGTCTCAATAGACGTCTGTCACTCTTAAAGAAGCTGTGCAATGCCAAACTCGAGTCATACCCCAACATCGAAGCCTACATCTACGACATTCGCGACACACAACAGAAAATATCTGCCGTAGGGAAGGCAATAGAAGACAAATTTGTTGGTGTGATAATGCTTGCTGGTTTGACAGATGAGTATCTACCAATGGCGATGGCTATAGAACACTCAGGCGCTACTATTTCTTCGGACTACGTCGCAACAACGCTTCTCAAAGAAGAACGTCGTCGGAGCAACACCACGGCTACCAATAATGTTCTTGCTACTACTTCGAAGACTTCGATTCGAGATCGTGTGTACATATTGTAAAAAAAAGGACACCACATTTCAAAGTGCAGGATACGTTATAATAATTCTAAAAAGAATAAGGGCATCGGTGACACCAAAGCTAATTATATATCTATTTTTATACTTTTATCATCTTTCACTTCAATTACAGGCCAACACTTCCCTTCTTTATCCCAGGATTGGTACTTAAACTCAGGAGCCACAGGGTACATGAGCTGTTATAAGGATTAGTATATTGACTACAAACCTCTCCGACAACCAGTTACTGTAGCAAATAAAGAAGTTGTATATAGTGCGGGAGATGGTGATCCTCATGTCCGTAGGTAGAAACCTTTAACACCATGCTGTCAATTACCCTACACGTGCCTCCTAGGTGGTGCTAATCGAGGATCAACGCCGAATGTCGGGTGGCGGGAAATAGCCTGACCACTCTGCTTTAAGCTGGAGATGGCTACTGCGAGCCAGGAAGAGCAAAATACTCTCCAAAAGTGCAAAACCTACCAAGACGTGTGGCTGACGTGGTGGGTATCGGGCTAGAAACCTCCAATGAATCACAAGGATAGCACAAGGCCCCTAATTCCCAGCGGCTCCACTGTACTTGGCCACGGCGGCGGCTCTAGTAGAGGTGGAGCAAGGGGTGCGAAGAATCTCTGGGTTACGGACGGCCGCCTAATAAAACTGACCATAGCTACATACAATGCACGGACTCTGAGAGAACAGGATAAATTAGAAGAACTTGAAGCGGAACTTGGACACATCAAATATGACATCATTGGCCTAAGCGAAACAAAGCGGAGAGGAGAAGACACAATAAGGATGAAATCTGGAGACCTATTCTATTACCGAGGCGAAGAAAACAAATCGTATGGAGGTGTAGGTTTCATAATAAGACGTGGTCTTGTCCAAAATATGACAAAAATTGCAAGTATTTCGTCACGTGTAGCCTATACAACTCTAAGAATAAACCAAAAATACTCCCTGAGGATTATTCAAGTGTACGCTCCCACCAGCACTCATTCGGAAGACGAGATAGAAACCTTCTATTAAGAAATCTCGAAAGCAAAGACCGTGACCACTTCCTCATGGGAGACTGAAATGCCAAAATAGGATCAAGATGTGATGTCCTGTATAGGACACCACGGCATAAGTTTTTACGAAGTTCATAGAATTTAAACACCTTGTGGAAAATCAAACGGGCTTTAATATTAAGGCACTCCGATCCGACAACGGTCGTGAATTTGTAAATAGAGAAATGATCACATTTCTTAAGGAGAACGGCATTATACATCAACTAGCGGACCCGACAGACGTTGTCCTGTCTACACGTCTTTGTGAATCTAAATCATTCTCAGATCCCCTTGAACACACACAAAAAATTTCATCAAAATCGGTCCAGTCGTTTAAGAGAAGTTCAGTGACATACACACTCACAGAAGAATTATATATATAAAGATTATCCGTACCTTACAACCCTCAACAAAACGGTGTTTCGGAAAGGGTCAACCGAACCGTTATTGAGAAGGCAAGGTGTATGCTGTAGGATGCCAACCTCCCCAAGGCTTATTGGGCCGAAACTGTAAATACAGCTATTTATTTAAAAAACCACTCGCCTACACAGGCATTGAATTATAAAATTTCTGAGGAGGTTTGGACTGGCAGAACCATAAACCTTTCTCATCTGAGAGTTTTTGGGTGTGTAGCTCACGCATTAGTCCCTCAGGAGAAACGAATTAAGCTAGACCCGAAAACTCAGCCATGCATTTTGTAGGCTACTTTGACGACTGCAAGGGTAATAGGTTAGTCGACCCAAATAACTATCGAAGAATTATTGGTGGAGTGCCATAAGGATAGTTTTAGTTTAATTGGTAAAATTATGTTTCTTACTTGTTATGTGTGGCGATATACAAGGAAAACTTCTCGCACCCACTTATCTGTGGGATTGATGTCGCCGTGGCTGAGGGCACTGGCTGGTTACCGGAACAAACATTGTTTATGGTGCCTTTCGTGTAAAAAAAGTGATTTACTCTCTTCCTTCAAAAAACCTGTCAAGATGTGTGTCAATAATTTTCTTTAATTATTAAAATATTCGGGACAATCGTAAAAACTATAATTGTGACCGTGCGCTTTCTGGAATGCCGGCAAAGCAGGGTCCAGCCGCCTCACATTACGCCCGTTGGAGACCACGCACCCATCGTCCTGGAGGTAAGTGGGCGCTTCCTTTTTCCTGGTATTGAACCACATAATTTATCATTTCGGTGTAATCCACCCCAGGTGTGGGCTATTTACACGCGCCACACCAATTATCATGGCTCGGGATGCAGTTTTCATGGAAATTAAGTATGTCGCCAAAGGAGAGTTGTCCGAACCCACAAATCTTGTTGACCAACCACTAACCACAATCCAAATTTCTACACCCAATCCTTCTTCAGATTCCGTCCCCGGTCCTTCGACAATTAATGATGAGATAGCGGAATCCCAGTC